TGATTGACCTATGAAGTCCCCTGAGGGACTTCTAAAGCTGCCAGTATCTAGGCGCCCTGGTGGCCCGGGGCCGCTCGTGGGTCGGAATCCCGGCCGGTTGCAAAGTATCAACCTTCCACCAGCGGATTAAATCCGTGTCGGGGCACATCCCCGCCCTTCAAGAAACTCACGGACCCATTCGCCACTGGTCGGGGTATCGAAATTGTAACTGTCCCACATCTTCAGTGTTGGGCCGCGGGGACACGTGTAAGCTATAACGATGATTGGAAATAGAATGCTGGTAGTGATGATGGTGATGTGTCTTCGTTCTAGCCCGTACGGCTTTGAAGTCGCCGCGTGTAGAACCGCATTAATTGCAAAATGCTGGGGTCTTGGTTCTGGCACAATATGTATCTACAAAAATCTGGCCTTATGACAGAACATTTCCTTTTAGAATCTCGTATTTTTCAACATCTACCGTACCCTAGAAATTCTCGGTGACATGGTCGGAAGCTGGGGTCGTTAGCTCTGTGGTTAAGATGTTAAAAAGGCTGCGCAGACTTCTGAGAGCGTGATGGACCATGGTTTAGTTTTCAGGTTCTTTTTTGTATGCTCGGGAGTCGGGCTCCGAATCAACCTGAAAACTCAACAATTAGTTGGTTTGGTAAGGGGAGTTTTAGTTTTAGGTCCATTTCCAAGGGCCGCAGCTCATATACCAGGTCTCTTGGCGGGCTTATCTGAGGCAATTGGTCATTCTCTGATTAATCTGTCTAATCTGTCAGCTACTCATTGGTCATGAGTAGCTGACTACCGCCGCGGCCGGCAGGGTGACAAGCAGCTAGTGACCGTAATCGACCGTACACTTTGAGTCACTGCAAGCCGACGGTCTTGCCACGTATACGGTATTACGTGCGCGGCGGCAAACTTATACCTACCAACACGGAAACGCCAACGTCGGACTTGAGGATTCCAAGTCCCTTGGTAGGCCTTAAAATTTTGGAAACTTGGACATGGCCTGGTGTGAAGATTGTTGTTTCTTCTTGACCAATGGATTTGAGCCCGGCCATTGCAAATGAAATTGTGCAACTTCTGATCAACATCAACTAGGTAGCTTCAAATCTAGGTACAAGATGTGTATGCCATCGAGTTGAAGCCTAGGTATATAGCCGCACCGTACAGATGGCTATATGGGAGATCATCGACACGGTACCGATTCGGTTATGATTCGAAATTGGTTTGTCTCCCGATTGAGCTAGCTATCGCTTCAAGATGCGAACACTACTACACACTTGTTAAAGTATAAACTGTATTGGTTTACTTTATTTAAGTAAACCAACACACGGTTTAGATACTTCATCACTACTCAGGCTAGCAGTCTAGTCATAGGACCCTCCAAGTTTCTTAACCATTTTGCACTGAGATGTTGCATGAGCTTGCGTATAGCTTCGACAACTTGGCAAATACCATGCTAACCACAAATGCTCAAAATCGTCGGGTACCTGCTGTTAGAGCTGGCAACCAAGGTAGCTTCAATGACGATTATCGTACCAAAGTGGTCCAAAGTGGATCTAAAGATTGCACCGAGACAATTTTCGTCACATACGCACTAAGAATTATTTTGAAACGTGTTGCGGTAGGCAAAGTGGTTTGGATAATCTGGCTGCCGTAACTCAGGACTTGCTCTTAGTATGTCGCTGTTTCGTACCATTTGACTACGGCCAAGCACCGTGCCTATCCCGTCGCGTTTGCGAGGAAGCGAGGAAGCCGCGGCTCCTTTCGGCTCCAAACAGAAACGTCCCTCTCTTCATTCACTGCCGTCGTATGCGGCCTGGCTTGCAGTACGATCCCAGAACTCTAGTGTGCCGGCCCAGATGGATTCCCATGAAGGAAGGAAGCGAAAAGAGCCGGGAGCCGGGAACTTGCCTATTCTGGCGAGTCAGCTTGTATAACTAGTGGCCCCTCGGAAAGAGCATCTCAAGCCGGGCCCAAAGTTTATCAATTGAACGGCTCCTATACATCCTCATGTCAACGGATCTCAACTCACAAAGGTTTGCCGCGCCCGGCACCTTCAAAATCCCTCGTCACCGCAAGACGTAGACGAGGTCATTCTTTTGTACAAGGGTATCTCCCGGGGGGTTGGTGAAAACATAAGCTATGGGTGCCTTTTTGGTGCCCCAGGCCCTATACAAACCCAGCGCGAGATAACCCTGGTTGTGGAGCAAACTGACAAACACGCTCCGATACGAATGGCCCGCATACTCTTCAGGGACGGGAACCGTCTCAAAAAGACGCTGCTCCGGGGGGAGATCTTCCTCTGTGCTGGTATCGTCTTCTGTGCTGTCCACGTCCCCCCCCGCCACAAGCTGGCGCATGATACTCATCGTCTGCTTGTTGCTGAAGGTTGCATAGCTGCAAAAAGAAGCGCACGAATAATAGTAAGTAATGCAATCTCAAGAGCAGCGACTTCTTCGGAAGACGCTTCGGAAGCCTTGGTATGGTTTGAAATGACACTTCGGGAGGATGAGAAAGTGCATAAGCCGGGTGGAATGAGACTTCGGCACCCAGTAATTAAAGAATGTGGCAGACGTTTCCACAAGGGGCAACAGAGGCGAGAACCTTCGTGCTTTCGGACCACGTTCATGCAGCTTGCGAACGCGAACTCTGGTCCAGATGCGCTTCGCCGTCACGAGATCCAGATTCCTGCTGTTTGCTGAGAACGGCTTGTTGGAGGAGTTCTTCAAGGGCGTTGTGGCAAAGTTCTCGAAACCATCTGACGGTTGCGCTTCACATTTCAGCGCCAAAAGACCTTCTGGGCGGCTCGATTCGAAGCACCATTGCGCAGTATGCACAGTGAACGGTGCCCATAAATCCGGACATTTGCGGTAGCGCCGTGCACTTGAGAAACGACGTCGTAAAATGGTATCTTGACGTCAGCCCACGTGAGATCTTGCGCACTGACAAGCGTCGTCTCCAGATTCCCGCACACTTTTTGGTTATTCTGAGCGTTGATGGAGTGCTCTCTTCTGAAAGAGAGTCCCGTTATTCAGATACTCCGAAACCAAATTTGAAGACCTCAGGTTCCAGCAAGATATTAGTGTCACTGCTAATCCCTCGCGACGACTTCTTTGTATAAACACAACTAGAGCGAGGGAGCATGGCTTACACTAGGCAGTCCAACATGCCGGGTGACCACGCTTTTCCATCGGCGTACGACAGTGCGTAGTGGGTCGACGTAGATTCGTTCCTTTTCCGCTCCTGCAAAGAGCGACGCCAACGGAAGTGGTTACGGGCTTGAGCGTGCAAGGAAGGCAAGCCCGCCTTTTTGCATTTGGTTTGTAAAGCTATTTCACCCTTGTAAGTATCAGGCGTGAGGACTGGTCTATCTCCAGCTTCATTACTGCGAGTGTAGATTTTCAGAATCCCAAAAAGGACCCCTAAAAATCGATTCAGAAGGCCAGGGGCTTAGTAACTGATAGCAGACCTGAGACATGAGACGCTTCACACCCAAACCTCACCGGCAAAACTCAACACCCTGCACATCAGTGCGATCCGCGCCATGCTCAAATGTGCGAGATACCAATTTCGGAACTCCTTCGCGTCGGTTGCAGCGAACCGGACCAAAATTTCCAGTTCATGTCGAGTCTTACAAGTTCCGAATACAAGGTGGCACCATCACAATCTCCAAGCGCAGCAGACCACGAATGCTATGTCTTCCAAATTTCAAAACGAACCCTCTAAATCGTCTCTATTTCACAGCGTAGATAAATCCCACGAACGCTGGATGTAACCTGCAAAACCAACTAACCCAAGGCTGATGCAACCGACTTCATACGTAGGAGTACTCTCACCATGTAGTCAAACTTGCGCGGGTGGAGGTAACTGTGGGGCCGCATAAACAGGAACGCAAACTCGCGCTGCATCTCCGCGAGCACGATCCCCGACCACTCGGGCTCTTCGGCTGGGTCCGCGTCGGCAGCTGGCAGCCCGTGGCGGCTGACACGTGGCAGCCGCTCAACGGCGGAAACGGTGATGAGGTTGTTGACGTCATTCACGAAGCGGTCGGCCGAGACCGCGAGGGGACCGTCCTCGCGGGCGGTGTCCTGGCCGGTACGTACCGCGCCATCTTCGGACAGCACGATGACCTTCTCTGCAGAGCAAATATTTCTACGGGGCTAAGCAGGGGCCGTTAAGAGCTTTTACCGGAGTTGATGTTCCGCACGAATCCACCTTCGCACAAGACGGTAAGACTCCGTGGAGAAAGGTTAAGAAAGGTGATCAGGGCTGAAACTGAAGGCTCTACTTCGAGCACCTACCTTTATTGTGAGGGGGAAGGTCAAGGAGGTAAGCGAGAGTTTTACAAGGTTAGGCGAGAATCAGGACGGCTTTCCGGGTCCAGCCTTTCCGGGTCAACGACTGCGGATTAAGGAACGGTTCCCTTGCAACAGAGGGCAAGATTAAGCTTGCGGGAAGCTCAGAAAGCAACGTTCCGACCTGTCAGGGGGCCGAACTCTGCGGATCCGCAAACAGCTCAAGCCATCATCAGTGCTGCAAGTTCCCGTGTGGAAATGGAAAATCAGGATTACCACAAAAAAGCCAATTTTTGAATTGGTGCAACGAAACAAGGTGCAGCGCCTGACTCGTTGTGTGTTGACATACCGCTGCGAGAACGAAGCTTCCCCGTGACCCAGCGAAAATGGAGTCCTCCGGTGATCCAAAATTTCCAATCGAAAATGGACAGGAACCAGCGTTCACAATACAATGTGAATAGGGAAATACCGGATTACGTGGAATTTCTAAGTGCACCGCTCACCGGCCTGCAGCACTCCCGCCCGCAGCAGATCCAGCTCGTACATTGGCGACCCCTTGACGAAATACACCCCTTCAAACAGGCCCGCGTGGCCCCACACGGTCGCCGGGGGCTCGACCGGGTTAAGGATAACCACGTTCCGGAACGGAACCCGGCCCTCCCTCAGTTCCGCAAGCAGATGGTATAAGTCGGAAGGCGGGGCGTTGGAGATGCAGACAACGATCAGCGGGCCCTTGTCGGGGGTTACTGCGGTTAGGGTCCGTTCTTTGAGATTAGCGAGGATTGCGGCCTCTTGTTTCTCGATAACCGCGTCGCTGGGTTTGCCGAAGTTAGAGGCCGGGGGCCACGCGAGAAGGCGCTCCACCGCTTCTTCTAAGCCCGCGACCTGCAAATAAACGTGGCGAAAGGTACTTTTAACCGGCCCTGGTTAGTACTTGGTTGAGTGCTTTCCGACCATGGCTAAAAGCCGAGATTGCTGGTTTACTCAGCTCGGTTACGAGCCACGACCTTTGATGAAAGCGGGATTACACTGCATCCACTTTGTCGTCGTGTGCTCTCATGAAGAATCATGCAAATGTAATGTGACGTTTGACCTGCTGTTTCGTACGATCTATCCACATTTGGAAATCTCAGTTGTAAGACCCTGCCGCTGCCACAGAATAACAACGAGGCTCCAAGTGCTCTTCCCAACTTTTCTGGCTGTCGTCTAAGATCGATACGAGAAGGCCACGTGACAGTAAGCTCACAGCAAGACAACGGATCCGTTTTCCTTTTCCTCTTCCCTTTCGCCCCGGAAACGTCTCTAGCTTGTTGGCCGGGGAAAACCTGCTCACCTGCTTGCACTTCGCCTCCCCCTCAGGACCGTCTTCCCTTTCCCACATCACCCCGTTCGGATCCTTCTTGGCATCGATCATGGTCCGCATCTGTTCCACTTGCTTGATCCGCCCTTCGCTCGCGGACCCCAATCTCTTAACCGAGGCCCCGTGCACGTGACCAACGGTTAGCTCCCCTTGACCGGGCCCCAAACCCTCCTCCGCCCAGCTGGCTTGCAGGGCCTCCAACGCGTCCTCCTCCTTCTTAAACCTACTTTTCGTAACCCGGATGCAGCACGCGCAGTTACACAGCAGCGAGTTTTCCTTCTCTAGTTTGCGGCGCTGTTCCGCCAGGTCTTTTTGCCCAAACTTGGAGATCTGCTCGGCGGACTGGATCGTGGCGGCGATTGTGAGCCCGACGTCGGTGGCGGTGATGACGTGGCGGTGCGGGAAGAGGTACACGTGGCGCTCGCCGTCGACGCCGTCAAGGACGTCGAGGGCGAATAGAGTGACGCCGTATTGGAGGTAGAACAGCTCCGCCGCCTGAGCAAAGGGTTTGGGCTTTCAGGTTTGGGAAATCATTGAATATCGAAATGGGTATATGCTTGTGGGACGTGAAAATTTGATCGGGGTCTCGAAGCAGATGAAATAAATAATCCCAGACATCATATCTAGGAGCGTCTGGGTTTCTAAGAGCCAGCAATGTTGGAAAGAGGCCACACGGGTGAAAGGAACTTAAGACTCTCTGAAAGATTTTTCCACTGCTTGGCCGGGTAGTGATAATGCAAACCGACAACAACGTTCTGGGGGAATTTCTCAGAGTTGGGTAAAACAAATATACGGTCAAGAGCTGGTAGTTGCGTTGAAAAAGGGCTTCCGCAAACAGGGATGCCGGCGTCTGCGAGGCAGCGGCGGCAACCAAAAGGTCGCCGAACAGTCAACAAGCAATCGTGTGCCGTCACAAACAAATACAAGGACGGGTTGTCTCATCTCCCGGTCGCCAAACGAGGATCGGTCAGAGATCATTGTCTAAACCCTGAAGATCTTGATTCCTTTTCCCAACAATAATAGCTCCAAGAATGGATGGTTTTGAAGGGGAGTATGGGAGAATACGTCAGGACTGGCTAAGTGGCTTGTCTTCAAAAATGATCTCAAAAGTTGACATTGACAAATGCCCGACCTGTTCGAAGGGCAGTCCCTGGACGGCCCGCGGCAGCAGCACCGGGAAGACCTGCTGGAGCGCCCCGTGGTAATACTCCGCCAGCCAGTCCTTCTGCGGGTTCCGGAAGTGCACCGGGCGCGTGAAGAGGTTGGTCAGAAACGTCGACATGCCGCGCACGAAGCAGCTGCATGCAAAGTCAGGTCAATTTCACACGCATGGTTGTGAGGTGTCCGAAACGCGTCATAACCGTTCATGCCCTGTGATAGTATTCTGTCTGCCACCCAATCCTTTTGCGGAAGTGCACGGGGCGCATGAACAGGTTAGGAACGTCGAAATGCTGCGCACGAAGCGGCTGCACGGGGAGAAGTATTGATTGCACAGGCAGAAAGCAACGGAGATGCCCGAATGCTGTCACAGCCGTCCAATCCTTTGGTGATGTTGACTTTGAGAACGGAAACCCTTGAAAGGAGAATGATACTGACAGGACCCCCATCCTAAGTACAGACCAAAATGAGACACCAAATATTCTCTGGAAAGGAAGACGTCTTGTCATCTAGGTACCACAAGCTTTAGGTAAGTAAGCTCCCACCCTGACCTCAAAATCATCGACCCTTACATTCACCTGCTGTACACCCGCACTCACCTTAACCCCACCCAACTTAGGCTGGTTAGCTTACTAGACCTAAAGCTCACTCAATTTAAACCGATGAAGATTTGAAAAGAAAGACCCACCTCCGAGCCAGCAGGCGCATGCGCAGCTCTTGGGGGCACAGCACCTCCACGTGGGTCCCGTCCCAGATTGGGCTAAAGACGCTCTCCGGCTCGGCCACTTGCGCGATGACACGTGTCCTCTTTCCGACGGTCCGGCTGACGCGAAGCGCGCGGACGAACGACTGCGAGTCGTCGTGCGCCTGGTTCTCGACGCTCTTGTCCGGGAGCAAAAAGATGGTAGACGCCGCGTTGGCGCCGACGCGCTCCAGATCGTCCTTGAGGAACGGCGTGCCCTGGATGAACTCGACGAAGCCGGCGTACATGCTGATGAGGCCCTTGAGCTCGAACCTGCATAAGAGTCTTGAGGCTTTGTCATGATTTGGATTTTCTGCAAGGTACATGCGTTTGAGCTCGAACCTGCGTAACCGATTTAGAAACAGAACATCCGAGTTTCTATCTTTTGTGGACTGCAATGCTTGGGCAGTATCAGGGCTGAAGAGCGCCTCGGATCAACAACTCGACGGAGCCGGCGTACATGCTGAGAGGGTCTTGAGCTCGAACCTGCGGAGGGGGTCTGCGGATAGTAATCTTAGAGTTTCATGGTTTTGTTGCTAGATGAGAAGGTTTCGTGTCTTGTGGGATGCACTGTTGGAGCGCTTTGAGCGCTTAAGAGTGCCTTGGTACAAATCGACAAATTGTTCGAAGCGAGCATCAAAGTATTGACCGAGCACAGCAGCAAGCGGAAGTGGAAGCATTGAAGTAGAGGAAGCTTACGAAGGCTTGTATGGGGCCATCAAGACCACCCGGAGAGGGAACGCCGCGAGATCTGCAAAAAAGGAAACAAGCGGATGGTCTTGGGCCCGGATTGCAGCCAAAACTTTGGATAGATTCTTAGCGCTGCCATCAGAGCACTTGGGCTCTGCACCAGTTCATAAAGCTAGCATCGTTAAGGTGCAGGTCACGTGCGTAATCTTTTATTTGTTAGTGCAATCCTGGGTGCTTATCAAGAAGCTCCTGGACCAACAAACTCCCACAAATCTCATAGAACCTGCAAGGTCTAGTGATTCAAGGGGACAGAGATCTGGAAGGTTCTGACGGATTGGACCTCGAGATGTGTAGATGTCACCAGCACTTTGAAAGTTGCAATCCACCAAGATGTAGTGGATCGTAGCTCTCAAATAGTCTTTGCTTTTCTGACGCAACTGTGTACGATCGCCGTAAGAAGAAAAACAATACAAGTTTCTAATTCTGGGCGCCAGCGGGAGCATATTTTTGGTCGCAAGACCACTCAACCCAAAATTCCCGATCATCATCTGCTTTTTCAGCACAGCAGTATGCGGTTGTCCAAGCAGAAATCGAAAACAAGTTTTCTTTTCTGGCGCCAGCAGGATCACATTTTAAGTCGCGAGACTGCTCACCCCGAGTAGAGCCCGGGTGGAAGAGGTAGGCTAGGAAGGCCTGGATCGTGGAGTACGTCAGGTTCCCTGCGATGATGATGTAACGGGAGCCCACAACCTTGGCCACGCTGAAGCTGCCACCGTATGGCCTGCGCATAAGAATGTTCTCAGTTTCAGAAAGCACGCTGATACAAGGAATCAAGGAACTTTGGATTCGAGCAAGGACCTCGCTTTCACGGGGACTTGATTGCTGGCGGGACTTGTGACTGCAAGGCGTGGAGAAGGGAGGAAGAAAGCTGACCGCCGAGACGGGAGGACTCGATACTTCTGAGAGAAAGATCCTTAAGTGCACGACACAGTGCTTCGGTTCTGATGTGTCATCTTGTCGAAATAAAAAAGAACGAGTGACGACCGCCGGAGATCATGGCGTCTGACAACAATTCCGGCAGTCCAGATAAAAGCGGCTACCTAGGAGTGCAGCCTTTCTATGCTTGCGCCGAACTACGGTACTAAGGTGTTGCAAGCACGAGATCTTTTTCAACCAACGATTGGGAAATCCCGATCCAAAAATGCGATAGCACGAGAACCCACCTGCTGGTGTACAGCCCAATGATCCCCGACAGTTGCGCGGGGATCACAATGAGAGCCGTGAATATGCAGATGATCGTGATCACCCGCCCCCAGCTCGTGTCAGCCGTGATGTCACCGTAGCCCACCGTCGAGATCTGCGCTTCGTGAGGATGACGTCAGCGGAGAAAGACACTACCTGAAGCGGTCTGCAATGGGTTGTTGTGGAATCGTTGGATGCTCGTCCGGTGAGGATGCTCGTCGAAAAAGGTACAGAAGTGGCACGTGCTCTTCGGGTCCGTCGTGTAAGAGCGCTTTGTGAGGGCGCAATTTGATTTGATGCCGTGCTTGAGTTGCTCGAAGATCTGCGAGACTGACTACTCAGCGGAACTCTTGAAAAGGGCACAGTCTTCCCAGTCAGCATATCTAGAGAGTCGACAGCATGGAATCTCTTCGTTTATGTGTCGATATCAAGAAGATGGCTATTCTCACCGTAACTATGATGTAGTAGAACGCATCGAAGAACGTCAGACAGCCGTGCTCAGGGCAGTCGGACCCCTCCGGCGGCCACCGCGTCTCGATGTACTGAAAAAGCGCCGCAAAGATGAAGACTGCGCGGAGGGAGTAAAATTCCGGTTTGTTAGGCCCCCCCCGTTTCAGGACTCAGGGTTTACAAATGGGTCAGGTGGGAAGTGTAGGACGGCCCCGGCCGCCACCACATCTCGACGTACTGAAAAACAGCTTCGCAAAGGCGAAGACTGCTGGTGCGAGGGAAGAAAATTTTGGTTTGTTAGGCTCCCCCGTTCAGGACTCAGGATTAAGAGATGCGTTAGATGTAAAATGTGGGAGGCGGCCCGGCCCTCACCGCATCTCGACAAGAGTACAGCGCCAGCAAGATACTGAGACGGCTATCATTTCGGTCTGGAGAAGTTCTTCTTCTGTCTATGTTGCGGGAGGCGCCTTTTTGTTTCAACGCTTCGGTCTTCGAAAACCCAAACCCTTGACGACACGGGTACCCTTTCTCTTTCGTGCGCTTAATTTTGCGCTGCAAACACCCGGGATAAGAGTAAACGTAAAGAAGCCTCCACCGGACCGACACACCGAAAAGTAAGAAGCGGCGACTGAAGCGGTTTGGCGAGCACTCACTTATGCCAAACACATTGATGAAGAGGATGAAAATCGCGTGAACCACCGACGTCCCAAGAATGCCGAGCCGCTTCAGGACCTTTTGGATCCTGCAAAAGGGACGGGCGACACACGCTGAATATCTGCACACTCCGGGCGTCACGAGAAGGCCCATCAGACTGTAAGGGTCCATACACATAGAGCGGGTGAACTTTTGGGCAATTCGCCAAGAACCGAAGGTGTTGTTTTGTCCAAGTTTACTTTGTCACTCCGGGGGGTATCTTCCGCACGCAGAAGCGGTCCCGTGCGACGGTGAAATTGTCATCGCAAAAGTTTACTTCTTCACCACGCTCTGGAGCGTGGTGACGATTTGGAACACCGCGGTGTTTTTGCTGACGTAAGACCGAACGAGTCGGCGAATGGGAAAAAACACCCGCGGTGTTTTCTTGGCGACGGCGGCACCGCGACCCCTGCTATACCGTCGCTCAAAACCAAAAACACCGTCTCTGTGTGAAAGGACCCTAAGCGTATAAAGGCACTGGATCTGCCAATATATCCGTTTTAGTGCCTTGACAAACATTGTAGCCATAACCTGAGCACCCGTTACGGCTACCGAGTTGAAGTAAACCATGTTTAACAGGTCAAGGTAGCAATTACGCTACTTACACAGATCGTCCGACCTGTCCTGGAATTTCATTTCCCATCAAGCGAGTATGAGTTCGGCGCACTCAAAACTCAAAACGTGTGCGGGCCTTGTCAGTAGTCACCAAACCCCGGCTGGATGTCGTCCTCAGTTTCTGTCCCGGGCGACACATTGGGCTTGCGTACGTACCCTGATTCAAGATAAGTACTTCTAAAAGTTCACTTTCCGGACCAGGCAGGAAGGTATCGAAAGGCGGGGTCGCCCAGAGGAACTTACCGAAGAATGCGAGTGAATCGCAGTATCTGGAGCCCATTTGCTGAGGAATGGCTGCAAAGAACACGGACTCCTTGTGAACAAGTAGCAAAGGGTGCAACAACACAGTCGAATTCATATTAGGCATTCCCGCTGGCAGCGTCTTTTGTCCCTAACATTGTCGTTGAATTGGCTACCCGACCGGACAACCATCGCAGCTCCAAGAGTCAGCGATGTGAGAGTAGAGGGTTTCTATCGGCACCGGAGAAAAACGGGCGACCAAGACTTCCCAAAAGCGATGTCGTTTGACGTCAGCAACGGCTCGCGTTTCTGAGTTTTCGGAGAACAGTTGTTTCCTGCTTTTCTGACTATCCGGTGCATTCAGTCAAATCATTCCGAAAGACCCTCTGGGGGGTAAACTCTCCAAGAAAGTCATTGTCACCTCCAAAGTGCACTCATCCTTCCGACATTGGGTCCTTCAGAACTCTGAAACCTCTTCTTGCTCCCCGACGCCACCCTCAGCGCGTCCCCGATCCTGCCAAGCGGCCGCCATATCGTCATCGAAAGTAACAAGTCCGAAATCAAGAAACCAAAAAGCAGAGCGCCCCACCTGAACACCCAGAATATGGGCAGGATGCTTAGAATGTCAACGATGCCAGTGGGGGAAAGGACGTAGAAAGACCGGACCGGCGCGCTGCAAGAGGAGTCACAAGCAGCAAAGGTTGGTCTCTTCCACTGTTGCTTTCGCCCGAGTTGAGCTTGTCAGCGGGTTCGCGATTGCCCTGAAGTCATGACCTTTTGCGTCCGCCAGCTTACAAACCAGACCAAGAGATGAACGGGATTGCCATAAGACTTCTCTCCAAAGATGGAGCACGGGCGGGCCGGCTTCGCCAGTACTCAGAAGCCTTTCCAAAACCTCACACCGAGTACAAACCTTGGCCTTGACCTTGGCACGACGTTCTAAGCATCCAGATTGCCGAGCATGGTCGTCCGCGGATCTCGGACGAAAATTCGAAATGTTTAAGTCCAAAGGATACAGAAGCTGAAGAAGACATGGATTTTGAAAGCGTTCCAAAATCCCAAACACATTCTGCTGGTGAGAAGGTTTGTTCATATACACTGCGTGCTGCTCAGTTTCAACAGCACAGATACAACAATTCGTTGGAGAAATTCACCTTCGGATGGTGAAGGCAAGGTCTGGGGATCCGGTCACGCTCCTTCAAGCAGAACGGTGAAAGGGTTCCATACGAAGTTTCTGCAAACCATTGTTGTGCTTGAGAAACGAGTTTGAAAGGGAGGACACATGATGACGCACCTGTAAAACTCCATGGCGTAATGCACCACGAAGTAAAAGGAGACGACGGCGTTTAGTGCAATATACCAGGGGTCCAGGTGCTGGGAGTACCTGCAAATCACGTGGCATGAGGGGATACGTGGCGGCGTCAGATGTCAATATTGCTGCTGTCGCCGCAGCGACTGTGGCCATTCTTCGGTGCCGGCTCATTGAAAACTAGCTCATTGACTACCGCGAAACTGACAATCTCGTCGTCTCAAGCTTTGCATAAAGCATAGAACTGTTCAAAAGTTCGTCGAAGAGAGGTCGAGAAGCTGTCTGGCTTCCGGTTTGCAATCACGGGCCAGCGGCGACAAGACAGTGTTCGATTATTCTGCCGCGGGTCACGTCCGGACCGCTTTCACGAAGCTGTACCTAAGCACTGGGATCTCACAAAGACTTTGGGGGTCGAGCTATAAAGCAAGCAGGAAACCGTTTTTCACTTGGCTGTCAAACACGCAAACCATCTTTCAACGGAACACCGGATCTTTAGATACAGATGCAGTGAACCAGGCACATCTGTTTTCAAACAAGGCAGATACTGATTGAGAGAAGTGCTCACGTCCATCGAATGTACAGGATTAGTGCCAGCACAGATATCACGAACTCCACCTGCACAGCAACACGTGTGAGATTCATCAGCAGTCTACAAAGGCCAGCACGACGTCCAGGTGGAAAGAGCGGATTGTTAATGATTGTAATTAACCTTTTTACAACCTCTGCGCTCGCAGACTCAGACTGTGAGCTCGCTCTCAAAGATTACATGCTTTGAGACGACGTGCAATAATCTGTTGGTCTCTAAGACAAGGAGCCAAAATGTAGGACCTGATTCCGCACAACGCCATAAAACGACATGTACAGCTTCGAAAGCCGCCAATCCTAGGTTCGTAATCATCTTCAGGCAAGAGTACTTTAGCTCATTCTTGAGGAACGACTCATAACCAGGAGTACTTACCAAGTTCCGCTGAAAGTTGAACCACCCCCCGCGCATCAGCGCCCGCGTCTTGGTCGAAAACGTCACTGGAGCGTACAACACGCTGTCGTGATAGTTGGCCAGGACGTCCTCTGCGGCATCCACTTGCTTCCCTCGCCCCGACCACTGCATGCTCCAGAGGCGCTCGATGAAAGCGGAGCGGGGCGCCCTGGCCGCGGCCGACGATCCATACGAGACGCCATACTCGGTGGCACCGTCTTCGTGAATACCAACGTCTGTCGCGTCTTCTGGGAGATCTGAGCCCTCATCATCGTCGCGCTGGGTAACCGATGGTTGCCTGGAGAAGGATGACTGGGTTGGTGAATTGACCCCGAGATGTGAGCCTCAGAATCCAGCATAGTACCTTGACACCAGTCTCAGGATCGTCTTGGCATTGAGGGTATGTCGCATTGGTCTGCTTTCCGGGGCTTTATTTCTGAATACTTAGTTCACAACGTCATTGAATGTGATTTACAACCTCTACCACAGAGTGTAGAGAAGTTTGGCGGGTGCCATATATAACCTGCCCAACATCTTTGGCTTAGCCAGTGTATATTGTGGATTCTTTTGCGTGCTTGCAGAGATTGGTGTCCTCTTCCATACTGTCACTTCATCCAGTTCACAAGTGGTTCAAGCTGCATAGTGTATGACCAAGTTGAGACATCCACAAAATGACCCGATCTGTAAGAGATCTGCTCCTTCTAAGTGAAGTCCGCAACGTTTGCACGAACTACTGCTCTCACAAACTCGAATCTTTGGAAAATGCGACTCTCCACCCCTCACCTGAAAAATGTTTGTTTTGGGGCGAAGGGGCTGCGAACATGCCCGGACGCTGAGAGTCGGACGGTGGTCGATCGGCTCAGCTGGGGTGCTGCCCCAGTGGGGGTGCCGCCACCTTGAGGGGTGCTTGGAGTGCTCGGTAACTCGATCTCAATGTCGTCGGCAGGGCCCGCAGTCGACCTGGCAAGATTCCAGAGGTTCTAGAAGTCTTATTCAAGGGTCAACGAGTACCAATAAGAGGACTCTTGCAATTTGAGTTGCCTTTGGCTTGCCATTGCTGAGGGATTTGAGAGGGGTAGGCCGAGTTGCATCACTATGATATGAAGGTGCACTTTGCTTGGTTGACTTGGCTAATAAGCCAGTTAAGAGAGCAACCTGGTAAAATTGGGTCTCAATCAGCCCCCGATCGCTTGTAGAGGGGTTTTAAGTCAAATTGAGGCTTACAGGACTAAAGGCTTGGCAAACCAGTAAGCGGCACTGGAGTTGCTAAGTCAGTCCGGAAATTCCCTGCTAAGGTTGTTAGGGTAATTGGCCTCTCTCTTCAGAGAAGGTTCACACTATCAGTGGCGCTTGGAGGCTGGATATGGAACTTCTGGTCAATCGGTCTGCCTTCATCACGTTAGGTTCTCGTTTGCTGCAATTGGAAAGAATGGAGGTACATGTGCCCTGATGAATGCAGTCTCGTACCTCCGTTTGCGGCGGAAGTGCACGAACGACATCTTCCTCCGATTGTTGAACCCTCCACCCAGTCACTCATTCGATTGAGCAGCCCGCCTGGAGCTCCTCTTGAAGCAGGTTCTGCATTGCAGTGAGGTGTTACGGAGGGATGGAGAAGTTAGCACAACTGCTTGTTGCTCTCATCTTTCTACTGCTGTTGGACTTCCGCCAAAAGCTTTGTGTAGAGGCTACAGATGAGTGCTTAGACTCGTTCAGCTTTTATGTTGTTAAGTACTTTGGTTCTTCCTCTTTGGGTACTTTGCTTCTTTCTCCTGAGATCACCCCCAACCAAGGTCAAAAAATATCAAATTTTAACCTTTGTGATTCACATATGTTGTATTTGTAAGAACTGCTCAGATCTAGATCCAACTTCTAAGGACATTGTTTACTTTAGTTGCAGACAGCCTACATCTTATGAAAAACCCCCCGAATCCAGCACATTGAGCTCCTTCTGACGATCTCGCGGTTTGCGTCCACTTCTTCCCAGCTTGGATTGTCCTCTTATTTGCAATGCAATGCTCCAATCAATCTTCCTCGCCTTAGGCTTGTTTCTTCTACTCGCCAACCTTGTGCTAAAAGTGAACTTATACTGTGACATCCAACAACTTCACACCTGGCGAATCAATGAAGACTGGATGAGTGATACGTAACAGCTGGCCTAGCTTGAAAAACCCAGGGCACATGGGAACAAATGCCATGCAGGATCCCTTGGCTGTTTTGTCAAGAGAAAGAAAAACCTTACGGTAGAACCAATGCAATGGCAATGAAGCTGAAGTGAGCTGCAGCCTGCTGTTTATCTGAGGTCATCCTCCCTCTTTCTTCCATGGCAGGTTCCGTTTCCGTTTCTGCTTGCACCGGCAGCCGCTGTCGACGCGGCTTTGATGAACGGAAAGGTGCCGCAACCGTGACGACATATGCAACCACGGTTGCTCCCGTAAACTTTCGTTGTCGAAAGAAAGGTTTGCAATCCGGCCCGTTTCAGGTCTCTGCTAGACCGACAAGCCAACACGTCGAAAACATGTACACGGGAACCGCTGGCGGGATGTCGTACCAGCGCAATCCCTTTGAATCACAGTTCTGAGTTCAGCTGCATAAGCTCCAGTCTCCAGCTCGTCTACCCACATTTTGGTCACGCGCCGTTCAATCGAAACTTTTTGGTGAACAACTCAACATTCAACGGCAAAGAGGGACGCCAGACAGAAGCTGGAAGCATTCTTTGATGGAAAGAGACACAAGAAGGTCAGGCGAGCTGAAAGCATAATTATAACCACATCCCGCTTCTGTTTAGTACCTGGCAACCGTGGGCATCAAGCAAGACGATTGGCGCTAGCTTGCACTCTCCTTGTCGGCTGTACACGGGGCTGCTGACGGCATTGCTCACGTCATTCTTTGGTTCAGATCTGGGTGAGTAACATCTGATTCCCACAGCTAGCCTTCGCCAGATGTATCACCTGAGCTTGAAAGAAGCTGCAAACGCGTACTTTCTCACGTCAGTCGTGCCAACCTTGGAAACGTTGAAGGCTATATTGACCACCCTACACTGAAAGCAGCGCTTGCATGGTCCTGTCTGAGACCGCTTTTGATGCTGCAGGACCGCCCATTGCGGCAACCTCCTCTCACTTTGGAGTGTCACCAAGATCTGGGGAATGTTTAGGATTGTATTGTTTGCAGAGCTCTCGCATATGCTTTGCATTCCCTGCAGCTATTCATTCAACTTCGAATGGTGCTCATCTGTTGGAGCTGTCTGGCTCATCTGAAATGCAGCAGTCACATCAGCACGTGTGAGACAGGCCAGAACCTTCTTGGAAGTTGTTGTTGTGGATGAAATTCCCATGCTGCTTTCCAGATTTACCTGTTATGGCAATATGTTACACTATCATCTGGCCATTGAGCCTTGCTTCGCATGGTTTGCAATGGAACAGGGCCTCGCTTGAAGCCCTATGACTCACGCTAAGAATTTACAGTAAAGAGTCATCACTGTCCCCTTAAGGCACTCGATGAGGGCGCTGTCAAGGCGGTGGGCCTGCAAAATGTGAGCCGGCCAACATAACCCATCAAAAGACAGTCACCTTGACAAAAGAAAGTAAGGGGATGATTCTGACAGGTGTCTGGACTCTGTATCCTGCAGGTAGGTTATTGTCCAAGCATGGAGAACGTCATTGAGTCGGTGCACTTGCTCTTTGACGAAGAAGCCGCTGAAGAGCAGCAGCATATGGAGGCTCTAGAGGCGATTCCAGTATTCCGGTACAAGGGGGCTGGGGAGGCGGCGCCAACTTTTGCTGAGGTGGCGCCGGCGGCGGGGCTGATCTTCTCCGAACCGGAACTGGGGGAGTTGCTGCTTTCGCCACTGATATCCCGAGAGCTCAGGTAGGGTTTGTGGTCTCGAGGCTTTCAAGATGTGGATAGAGATTTGACGATTCATAAGATGGTCCCAAGGCTTTCCATAATCTCTGTTTTCAGGGAGGGCAGGCATAAGACTCGGTGCATTCTGCAACATCATGTGGTGGGGCCTTCGCGGTCCTATTGGCAGGAAGACCGTTCGCGCATTTGTAACATCTTGTGCCGCTGTTTAAAGCATTGCTCCATGTGTACAGAACGGTGCACTTTTGTAGACAAGATGGATGCCAAGAAATCCGCTGCAAGCGCAACGAACTTCAGCTGAGCAATATCGTTCCAGACCAACAAGAGGATCCGACACTTCAAAAGCTCCCTTCGAGCTGGTTGTTGCCTTTAACGCGTCTTTAGCAGCAAAAGCATCAGATTGCTCGCCCCGAATCAAATCGTTACGACCTTTTCTTTATAATCCTCTCAAAATAAATATGGAATGTGGTCTGCAGGTGTCCCATCTGCAAGGATGTGCTGCGTGACCCGTGTTTCACCGTCCCCTGCGGACACGTCTTCTGCCATGGTAAGTTTCCACGTGACGAGTCTTCCGTCATGTGTCCAGGCGCATTCAACTTACAAAAAGCTGCGGCTTGTTTTGGGAGGATCGGTCTGCTGCTGACGAATAGATCAGACTTGAGAGTCCTAGCAGTTGCTTGGAGGAAGCTGCTTTGCTTCGCCCTAGCACGTCAATCTCTTCGGTCGATGCCAGATTGAGGGAACCAGTTAGCGCCAAAGCATTCTAAGGAACGAAACCTTCACTTTTCCCTGCTTCCGTTCTCCGCTCCAAAGGTGAACCGAGCCTGATGTATGGCGTTTACCTTGTGCAGGGTGCATAACAGAGAGCCTCAACCAGGGCTCTCGAGCGTGCCCCATCTGCCGGACGGTCCTCGAGCGGTCCAACCCGACCGTCAGGGCGCGGACGCTCGACAACCTGCTGTCCGAAGTCAAGATCTACTGTCAGAACGGGGTGGCCTACTCGGAGACGGAGAAGACGTGGCTGAGAGAGGTGCGTGCAGAACTGGCTCCGTTTAGGTCTTCGAGCGGAGTAACGGAGGCGGAGTTTGTTCCTTCAGACTGTGGGGCAATAAGGTACGCTTCAAGAAAGAAGACCTTGTCTCGTCGTGTCGATGCGAAGCGGATTCGCATTCGCTCAACCAAAACACGGACTTGCTTGCGCAAAATTGGTGAATCTGGAGATGAAAGTCAGTTTTCCCCTCCGCGAACAGAATCTTATCTTCACCAAATGAGTTTCGAAAGAACCGGCGTTGCGCACCAAAATCAAACGGAACTGAAGGTTATGCGCCTTTCAAGGGGATCAGACTGACCCCTGAGACGACCGAATTTGCATATCCCGATCATTCTGAACTGCACGTATAAGCGGACTGACCCCATAGCTTATCTCTCTCAGGAAGGGCCGTCCACGTGTCCCGAGATCCTGAACATCACGGACGCCCCCGACCACTTCAAGACCTGCCCCTTCCGGCTCTTGAAGTGCCAGTTCCACGCCGAGGGCTGTGCTGACGTCATCGAGAGGCGACACGTGGCGGCCCACCACGACGCCTGCGAGTATCGAACGGTTCGCTGCGTGTGTGGGCAGCGTGTGCGGGTTACTACGGCAGAGGCGCACGCGCAGGTAAGTCAACAAAGGGAGCTAATGTTTGTGACTGTCCTGCTTTGATCTGGTGAAAGTTGTGACCCGTTTTTTTGCCGGTCCCTCAAGGCGGATCAGCGCTGTTTCATTCTGACGCTTAGGATGTCTTCTGTCTCTTTGAAACTTCGATGCGGACGGGCCATGATTTGCCGCCGAGTTTTCTGAAGGGACTAGGAATGTGGTTATGGTTGATTGTATTGTTGCCTGGGTTTGGCTGACCTATGCGAACCGTTCCTCCGCCAGGTGCTTATACATGCGACTCCGTATCTTCTGTGAGTGCATTCGCTTATCTACATCAAGCTCGCTTTTAGGACAAGACTGCGTCATATTCGCAGTCGGACGCCGTGGTCACTTGATCCTCTTTGGATAGCCTTGCTGTTATCTCCCTATAACCCCTCTCCATTAGCCCGAGTCTCAACGTAACCCTCTACTAAACCATCCACTAAACTTTCGCGGATCCCCACCACAGGTGTGCCCGGCCGCGATCGTCGCCTGTTCACATCGCCACGTGGGCTGCACGTCCGAGTTCCGACGAGGCGATGCGGACGACCACTTGCGGACGTGCCCGTACGAGGCGCTGAAGGAGTTGTTGTCCGAAAAGGACGCCAAGATCGACGCGCTAACCCGGGAGTTGGAAAAGTTGCGGGTTAAGGTCGAGTCGGGTTTGTTGCCAAGGTGGGAGCTTCAATGGTGAGCTGGTGTGCTTTAAATCGTTAAACACGCCCGATCTTGAACGCTGTCGTTCCGCAAACGCACTTGCTCAAGCCACTACTCATCGGCCACCTTCGCAATAGGTTTTGAAATATTCAATTAGAGTTCCCCTTTCTCTACAAAGCCTTTCGTGTGTCTCCGGGATCACAGTAGGCCCAACCTCATCGGATATCGGATTCGAGACGAGCCCTAGGCACTCTTTCTGCCCGAGGAATTGAGCTCGACCGAGTAACGTGCGTCCCGTTCCTGAAAGGTCACAGATTTTTATGAAGGCGTCATATCTGATTTAGCTTGTTTGGTCTTACGTCAGCTATACGTGGATTTTGTGTACAGGTCGGGCGACACGTGGGCTGCAACAAGGGCTTGGATATGCACCCCGCCTGCTAGGAGGGCGGGCCCATAAGCAAGCGGCTCGTACCATAAGCGCTCCAGTTCAGCGCAAGGGTGTGGGCTGAGTCCCGTAGAAGCGGACTTGGTGAGCGACTGATATCATCCATTTTCTCGGGTACTTTCCGGTCAGTGCCGACAATGTCCTCAATGCGCAGAAGGCAATTTAGCAGTTTGTGGTTCGCCAGTGTTGCAGAGGACCAAGAATTGGCTTGACACATTACTGGGGCAACCCGCGACCTAGTCCGCTTTGCTGAACGAAGCTTGTCGTCAGACGGAGACGCCCTCTTCGCTTTCAGCACTTGCTCAACACGTGACGTTTTGTTTTGCTGTACCAGTCCCTTTTGAGAGCACTTCGATCTCATCAGGTTGCATATTGTCGTTTTTAAAGAGTTGCGCACTTTTTGAGGCGCGATTTGTGCTCTGGACGCCACCTATCTGCGTAAGGAATATGTTAGCTCGTCCTCTTGTTCTGGCTCCATCGCGTTCAGAAGCTTCAAGCAATAGGTTTCTTGAAACTGCACGCAGAGGTCTTAGAAAGTCAGAAGGCTAATATTTTACCTCAATGCAGGGTGGCCTTTTCCTGATACAGTTGCCGGTGAAGTGTACGGAGGGGAAATCGATCAGCTTTGCGGACGTCTGCAGAGCGGCAGTATCGGTGTCTTTGGTCGCCTTAAACCCGAACATGTGAAAGCAACCACGTGAACTGATAACCCGGGCAGCTGGTCTTTGAACGTCCCAGTTTAATCAGAGTTGCGCGGAAGAATCTTGGGTACTATGAACAGAACAAAAAAGCCAGTCCTCGGGTTGGCAGATGGAAACGAGGTGGAGACGAGGAATAAACATGCCGGTCGAGCAGACTTTTTTGTTTGCAGCCAGGCAGGCTTTGTGTTTGCAGCCAGGCAGGCTTTTTATTATCAAGAAGGTACGAGTTGATGTTTGATCGAAGCGCGTGGCACTAAAGTTAGTGAGAGACCACTCCTAGGTTATACTTTCTTCAGAATGTATTTGTAGGCTGCGAGGCTGCGGGTTGTGCTTGTAGCGTAGGCAAACGGTGCCCGCCAGCTAGATCCGACATGCACGAGTACGTTTTTGTTCATCGGAGCCCGTCCTCGCACAAGGGGATGCAATCAGACTTACCTTCTTTACTATATTAGAGAGGGTCCCGCTGGACCGACACACACCTTCTTCCTCGTCATATCAACCGCCATTTGGTTCCAAGTATTGGAAGCAAACGCTTGGTCACAATTTCGACTGCGATCAAACATGTCCTTAGATAAATCTAAACAGCTATGCCTATTGTTCTGCCACACGTTTAAAATTGACCTTTACAAGTATGAAGGCCTAACACCTCGTCACTGAAGCTGTGAACCAGAGATTCATCATCTAAGTTTTGCTGCTCATGATGTCGATATGCTTTGAATGCTCAATGGATGATCGCGATGCTACATACGGGCCGGATTGGCCCGCTGAGCATGAAAATCGTTACCACAGCTCCGAGCTTTAAGTGCGTCTCTTGGCCGCCTACTTCTTAGACCCCGGCCGAGCCGTTTGATGTCCCCAAAATATGTAAGAACCGGGCGAGTCCGCCAGCCCACGTCGGTAAGCGGAATACGATTGAAGGACCCGGACAACGTACTGTTGCCAACGCGCGCTCATGGAAGGCGCCATCGCGGCCGGCGTGCCGGCGGCCGCATGCCCGGCCGGAGGTTTCTTCCAGGTTTAGAAAGAGCCGAAGTACAGACTTGCTCGCGCGCGTTCGCGCACCCAATGGGCCAAGGCACTTTCGATTCAGCCCTGATTCAGCGCATTGTCCTTGTCACTTGTGCAGAGTTGCCTGAGCAAAAGAGGCGCAACGTTTGGCAAAGCAGAATGGATTATCTAGGCCTGCTGCCAGAAGAGGTCTGGGTCCAGGTTGCAAGTGCGCTAAAGCGCGGCGCCGACCGGAGCGCGTTTGCTCAGTCGTGCCGGGCGTTCGCAGAATTTGAAAAGCTATCGCGGGAGAAGGTTTCCGTCACCTCTTGGGCGCAAGCTTCAGGACCGATTTGCTTGGGTACCTTCTCTAACAAGCTGACGTCATATCTGTCACAGTTCCCTTGCATGCAAAGCTTGCGCCTTGTCGGGCCCAACAGCGATCCTGAGGATGTCGAGAAGTTTGCAGCAGGGTTTGGCCGGTACGTGCTTCCGCACCAGGTGACTCGGGAGACGCTCGTAAGCTACGAGCCAGCAATGGCGGTCACGCACTATCTGGGGCCCGCAGAACGGGTGCTATCGTTCGGGGCCCTGTCTGCGACGATTCGGACAGAGCAGCTGTATCCTCCTGCTCTGTATCCTCTGAGTATTGATGACCACATTCTGGAGGGCTTGATGGGGGCTTGTTCGAGAGTCAAGCATCTGGAGGTCCGGTACGATGATGGTATTTCTGGGGAGGGCCTTGGTTGTCTGGCAGGAGTGAGGGGGCTGCGGAGTCTGCATCTGGTTGAGTGCTCCGGTGAGTCATCGATGTGTTTTGATCACGATCAAAGCTCTGCTTTTGTTACTATGTCTGCCTTTCAGTGAACACAAAGGTTGAGGTTCTCAGTTCAATGCTGGCTGATCTGCTTGGGTTTCGTCACAATCAAGATTCTGACTCCCACTGCCCTCAGACAAATCGACTGTCCTGCCATCTCTGACGGCCGTTCACTGTATTTCTGGGTTGTGCCTGATCGAGTGGATCGGGGTTAACTTAACTGACCGATCCTTATCTCCATGAGCTGACGCTTCTTTGTGGTGGTGCAGCGGTCAAAGACTACACTCCATTGAAGCGCCTATTGCAGCTGGAGTCCCTATGCATTCAGGGGCTTGGCCCAAGCACAAGCACAAGCCTAACCGACTCCGCAGTCGAGCAGATTGCTGCCAATTGCACCACACTCCGAACGCTAGAGCTCATCTCTCACACAAGCCTCACGAACGCTGCGCTTATCGCCATAGGACAGTTCTGCCGTAACCTCTCCACGTTCAAACTGCACCCGTGCCGGGCTGGGCCTATCGACAGCCAAGGTGTGGCTGCGCTAGCATCCCTGACCAATCTGCAAACCCTCCAGTTAACCAACCTGGTTAACGAGATTGACCCAGCCTTCCAACCCATATCTCAGCAGTGTTCGGGGTTAACCTCTTTGAGAATAACGGACTGCCCTCGCTTCAGTCGGTGGGCCCTCAGGAGGCTCGCATTCCACTGTGGAAAGTTGACCAAGCTCGACGTGTCGCGGTGCAAGAAACTGGCGATGTATGAGGCGCTCGTGGATCTCAAGTTGTGCACAAATCTGGAGGTGAGCCGGTGATGTACAGCGAAAGAGTGTACCAGTCTGATATGCCCAAAGTGTATGAAGCTGCAAAGCATGACATGGTTCGAAATGTTCCCCAGTAGTATACCAAACAATCGTTCATTTTGACAAGCTCCCAGCTCCGTTTTGGTTTCATGAGCAAAGTTCAACAACAGCTACTTGAACAGCCTCGAGAATAGAGTCATGCTTTTACAACTCAGTTGGCGTGTTATGGCTTTGTCAATCTTCGTCTCGTTCTTTCGGGATCAACGTTTGAGCACGCCCAAAAACGCGAAAACTTACAACCAACGTTGCACGCTAGATTTTCGGACAAGCATACGTCTGAGGACTGACTTGGGATTTCTTTCAGGATCTCACGCTGGACCACTGCATCATCGAGTCGCAGCCGGAGCTGTTCAAAAGCTTAGGGGAGAACCTCGGCAAGCTACGGCGCTTGTTTGCCCGTGGTTGCACCGGGATGGATGAAGCTTCCTTAGGATACGTGTTGCTCGGGTGCCGACGCTTGGACACGATGGTTCTTACCCACTGCAGGCTTTTGCAAAGTTTGAAGTGGGCTCGTTTACCTGATCTGGCCTCGTTGAAGACGCTAGATTTGACAAACTGTCGATTGAATTGGGACGAGCCCTTCTCGGTAGCTCTGGCAAAGTGCACTGGTTTGACAGATCTGAGCTTGGCATTCTGCGCACAGTGTATAGTGAGTCCCGACGCATTCGAAGCTCTCTTTGTTCATTACCCAGGTCTGAAAAAGCTGAGTCTTGCTAGAAACTCGGGTTGGGTGAGGGACTGGACTTTAGAAAGCACTTTCAAACTCTCTCCGAATTTGGTAGAGCTTAACATCCACGGCTGCTATCTGGTGACCGACTCTGGGCTCCAAAGTCTTCTGAGCCTGAGATCGTTGAACAGCCTGATCATCTCGGAATGCAAGGCTATCACGGAAGATGGTCTTGTCCGGTTTGCGAAGGGAAACCCGGCCTTAGAGTCCCTTTGGTGCGACGGTGTAGCTCAGGGTAGCTTACTCGATCAAAAGACAGTGTGTCGGATATTGAGAGGTTGTCAACGGCTCAAAAAGCTTGCAGTCAAGAGCTTGAAGCCAACGGAGTTTATCTGGGAGAAGGGCAAAATCTTGCGCTTCTCGGAAGTTCGCTGATTGTTGCTAACCTACGAGAGTCGATTGGTACAGTACACTCGATCAATTAAGATTTACCATTCATTCGCCTTCTCAGACTGATTCGAATATGTAAGCGGCCACTGTGGTTTACAATGATGTTCGGAGGCAGCTTCTTGTCTGAACTTTACGCTTCTTGTCTGAGCTTCAAAAGCATTTGACATTTGACACCCTGGCAACTGCCAAGCCTGTCGGATTGAATCCATACCGTTCAATGCATGATCGATCGTTAGTAAACTAGTAAACATAAAATCTGCGGTTTAATGCATGTATGAGTAAGAATTCATCATAGTTTGACAGGCAATCGTTGAAGCACTGAAACAGGCAATCGTTGAAGTACGTACCATGGCCATTGACGGTGAGCTGCGTGCCAGCGGACGTATGTCAGTGGATTAAAGGTAGCATAATATGGGCGCCCTAGCTAGCCGGCGGTCCCTGGCCTATTGCATGAAGTACGCGGTAGTTAGTACGCGTACGTAGCCTAGCTTTTGCATGGCCCTATGTACCATGCACTGTGCACGTGTGTAGTGGGACAATATACTAAGCGGCTGCGCTCGCTCGAGGCCATGCATCGCAAATCAATGAAGTAAGGCTGCACATGCGCACATGTGCAACATACTTAACGATATATGCAGATCGATCGAGAGGTTGTATATCTGCACAGTGACTAGGCGCATGCGGGTCGATCTTGTCAACGACCATGCAGCTGCGACAGCATGAAGCCACGGTTTGACAAGAGTCATCAACTTGTCGCAAGCTATTAACTTGTCGCCTCTGCCAGGATTGATACCGAGCGCATACTATACGAACAGGTATACTTGAACGGATTGCGGACTCTCGAAAGAATTGCTTAATTCGCGTTTGAGTGACGCTGCGCAACGGGTGTGGCAGCCGGAGCTTGGAGATATCGTTTCTCAGAACCAGATGTAAGTGCCTTCAATTTCATTGACAATCGTATTGAGAGCAGATCACCTCAAATATCAATGACGAGGACAAACAATGACGACGCTTAATCAACCTGCTGCTGTCCGAAGAATATCGTAGATGCCAAGAATGATCTCGGCAGAAATCAAAGCAATGATGATCCACTCTAACGTATCGGACTTCCGATTCTGGAGGACGCCGAGAAAGAACTTGACGTTTGCCTGCAAAGACGCACACGCCAAAGGGTACATCAGACACATATTGGGTCTGAACATGGTCCACAGGAAAGCCTACCCAACGGTGCTCAAAGGCGAAGGAGTCAACGAGACGCAAAGTTCTGTTTAAGCCGATAACCAGAAGCTCATGATTCTACAACACATTTTCTTTTGTTGCTGACGACCCGACGCCTCACTTGAATGACCGAGAGCTTGTAGTTGAGACTGTCGAACCGGTCCGCGATGTCGAAATCCCCTCGCATGTACTCCCAGATCTTGCCGTAATCTGCAAACTTCCAGGCAGTGTCCGACCTGCAGTTGGAAAAGCAAGTCAGGCTGCAACTTTTGGCGATGCCCTCCGGGCAAATGTCTGGGGAGATTCAATATGCATGTAGCCGAATCAATGTCGGCTTCTTCAAAACCGCTGTTCGGCCTTCCAATCTCCTCCGTCAGTTTGTCGCACTTACATTCCTTTCTGCCAAGGTACGAACCATCGAGATACATACTAATTCGCCGACCACTCCCGACCCTTACAAGGACCACCCATTAAACACGCTACCACGTTTCAAGCTCACCATCGCAATCCATTCATCCAACCAATTTCAACACCCATTTACAAAACTATCCACCATTCCCCCTCAAACCTGTCAGGCAATCCTCCAACCGCTCTCTGACCATCAAGACCACCATATTTACAAGTTTGATCTGTTTCAGCCCTCCTCCAAGCGCATTTGACTCTAAAATTTTGATTGGACGCGCTGACTCGGACCTCTGACATTTGGATTTCTATTTCGAGCGCCCTTCATTCGGGGCTGTAACACGGGCTCGTAATGACTCCGACGCTTGGATACGGCTGCTCTACTTCTTATCTGGTTTTGACGTTTGGGCTCGAACGCGCCATGCAGGCTCTGCGCTCGGACGAGCTTCTCGCTCTGCCTCGTACGTTATGAACAGAGCGCCAAAGACCGGACGCTTAGTTCTGGAAGCTCTTGAGGGCCACGTACGCTCAGTCAGTCGGCTTCGGGTTCGGAGCTTCCACGTGGCCCTCACCTGTTGAGCAGCTCCAGCTTGATGATGACGTCAGTAATGGTGGTGTTGACGACCCCGATCAGCTTGAAGAGGTCCTTGCGCGTAATCGTGAAGCTGCCCAGCTCCATCATGTCCTTGTTCAACTGCCCGAAGCGCGCAATCATGCGGTCCACCTGCAACAGCAAAAACGGAACTTGAAAATTTGGGTTAACGAAGTCAGGGTTAACAATTAAGAGCTGGGGGATCCAAGAAGGTAAAGAGTCAGGATGAAGAGAAAGGTTAAGAATCTAAGAGGTTCAAAATGGGTAAAAGTCGGGACGCAGAGGTAGCCAGGATTTTCGAAGCCAAAGCGCGTGCGTGTAATACGGGCTTGCGGAATGCGGGATTCGAGTGGAATGTCTCTAAAGCGTGGTCAGAGACGGGTCCATGACCTTTGCACGAGACGCGCCACATGGTTCAGTAAAGCGTGCCTTCAGAGTCCCGAAAGTCTTTGAACCCTGATTCGTCGAGGGTTGAGGTTGAAGAGTTCTGCGGTATGAAACTGAAGAAGTAACATTCAATTTGGAGAATCTCCAGTCTTGCGTACTTTGATACCGAGATGCTGGACATGACAAACTCGAAGGTGGGGCTTTAGCGCGGTTCCACGCCAGGAGTCGCTTCTCAAGCTCCTTAACCATCTTTTTCAAGTATCTTTAGATAGACGCCGTTGACAGCGCGGAAGGACTTGTCGGAGAAGGATAGCACCAACGTTGAAGCCCCTGGGGCTGACAGTCAACTAACTGGTGAAACCGAGGATTCCGGAGCCCCGAAAGTTGTGAATATGGGCTGAGTAAAATACATACAAACATGCATTCAACGTCGCCCTAACGGCAATAGAATATTGAACCTCTCACGAATGTAGAGAAACAAACCAGAAGCCTCTGATCGAGTTTTGCAACGTCCGTGGTCACGCAACAGCAACCTAGAAACCAAGCAGCGACAAACCAAAGGTTCCTTTTTCGGTGCCTCGCCCTCCTTTTCGTCTCCGTTTCGCCTCTTCGCCAGTGTGATAATTCAGGTTTCGAAAAGGCGAGTCATATGAGTCCGCGAACCCGAATGACGGCTCAGAAGGGACCGTCGTTAAGGACCCTTTTGTTGATCAATTGGAAAAGTTCCTCCCAAAAGGAATGCCACATGGAAAGAGAAATGGCCGGGTCACCCGGACTCATGCTGAGTTGACCACTGCAACTCGAGATTCCTCAATCGCCGCCTGGTCAAAGATACGTCAAAGAGCTGTACTTCCTCTTACCTCGACAGTGTAGTGGTCAAGAGCAACGCTCTGGCCCAGAATGCTTCCGATCACCCGAATCGCATTCTCGTTCAGGTCCCGAATCAGCACGTAGTCCGGGCCCCCGACAGAGTACTTTTCCAGGCTGTGGCGCACAAACACCCCGTAATCTGCACAAATCGACGGAGACGGGTATTCGCTGAACCAAAAAAGCAAGGTGATGCCCAACCAAAATAAACCCTGGGCTTGAGTAATTTACAGAAGCACGGAACCGAAAAAGCGGAGCTGGTGAAATGCTCAAGATCTGTACAGCTTTGCGCCCCCCTTCCATTGAAGCAACACGTTCTACAAGCAATGTGAAGGCAAGTCGTAAGAGATGCTGGAAGCAACAAAGCTGGACAAAGCTAAGCTGAGAGGTTTGTTGCAACGGGCACAATCAAGGCAACAATCTGCAAGTGACAAGGGTGGTGACGTTAGACGATGAGCGTCGAAGCAAGAAGAATGAGGACGAAAGATGCGCACCATCCGTCATGCGTTCTTCGAGCGCCGTCTCGCAGAACTGCGACACCACCTGGAGTTCCGCTGCCAGCTCGCTCTGGTCAAAATTGAAGAACACCAGGGCGCCGTAGTCAAACACGATCATCCACCGAGGGGCAAACAACCTGGCGCCCTGCATCAATGCAACAAACGGGTTATCAAAACGGTTTAATGATGGATCATTGACTCTGCCTTCTGGATTAAATCTAGTCAGGAGAGCAAGAATTACGAGTCAAAGGTTCACCTGAAACTGAAAAAATGGAGGAAGGCTGCCTCGAGACTCTGTTGGCTGTCAACTGCTACGTTCCTGAAGGATGGGTTTTGCGCTGGATGAAATATGCTGATGCTGATGACCGTCTGATGATCAACCTCTGTCGGGTAATGTTAAAATAAGGATTAGAGCCCCTACCTCATTCGTACGGCACGGTGGTTACGATTGCAGTCCAAGGGAAGCGTGGCAAAACACAGTATACAAGGCGACAGCAAGCCACATGTCAAAACCGTCAATATAATCGTCTCCATTGATACAATCGTCACCATCAAACAGCTTGTTTCCCGGGGCTCTGAAGCTGGGTATGTTACTTCTCACTGCAATGTACTCTTCTGCTGAGTCAGCTGAAAGAAAAGGGTAAGCTGTGCTTAGTGCCCCGCACCTGTTTGTGCCCCGTCGGAGGAGTCTTCCGGTCCTTGAAGCGTACGATGACATTGTTGCCCCTGTGGTTTACAGTCCGATCCGGATACGCGCCCTCGACCAACTTCCCAAGATTGATCCTGCAACGAGGAAACGGGACCTTCTCGTAACTAGGGCAGGAAGAGGGAGGTCCTGGCAATGGAAGGCGTTCGAAGTAGAAGGTCCCACAGCAGGCCCAGCTTAGCACCAGGAGAGCGCACCACTACAGGTGTTTGGAATGAAGAAGAGTTGCTATGCTCTTTCATCCAGCCAAGCCGTTGTCAAGGAGAGGACAGACTTCACTGCAGATGGATCTGAGCGCAAGTTTAGACCAGCGACAGACCCTACACAGCGCAGTGCAGCCAACGACATGATCAGCGATGAGCGCTACGCCACCCCCAACAGAAGATCAGGAAAGCAGACTGGGAGACAGACCTTTCAGGATCAGTACCACCACTGAGAAATTACATCCCCCCTTCCCAGATTCGATCTGATGCTATATTTAAACAGACACTTTCGAAGGGTCCAGATCTTCAGAGTGTGACAGTCTCCCGTAGGCAACGCCACTCACCTGCGAGCTATATAGCATCCCCGAGCTGTCATATGCTGGTCATCCGCCGTCGGTTTTGGTATGTGCTCCTGTTCCCCTTGATACGCCTGCGCAGTGTGCCTCTCAAACGCCGCCGCTGCGGAGGGGGGAAGTGGTGGCAAAGGAACCGTATGCTGCTGCTTGGTGAAAGGGTTTAGCCCCACTGCTCCCTTTGTCCCTATGTCAGGTACGCAGGCTTCGTGTAGCTTGCTATCGAGGATATCGACCGGTTTGCTCGGCTGAGGGGAAGAGGATGTTTGAACAGTGGCTGAATGGATCGCTCGAACTGGCGATGTACCAATGGATGCTGCTGAGGAGAAGCGGCTACGCACGGGAAGTGAATGAAAACCATTCGTGTGTGGCGAGCTTTTGATAGGTGGTATCGGCGGAGAGTTGGGATTTGGTTGTGAATGAAGGAAGCGATTCACGAGCGCAGCAGGACCTTCTCTATTTCGCTGATCTGAGGAAGCTCTTGTTGAACTCTGGTTATAGGCCTGCCTTGAAAGGGACACCTGTTTAACATCTTGCAACAGGTGTAGCTGAAGAGCTGCGCGCAGGTGGCTAGCTGCCGACTGCAACGGTCGAACACCCCGTAAGTGAGAGAACGCAAAAGTAGCCCCCGCTTGTGACAACGCGAGCAAAGCAAAGGCACCATCTGGTGAGGCTGCTTGTGGGATGCCCTGTGACCTGCTCAACAGTGGCAACCTCAGCACCGCCTGCAAAGGCTGCGCAAGGCTGTGTCTCATGGTGGAAACTTCTGGAGTGGTAGGGGACAGTGCGTATTAGAGCTAGCAGATCAGCCTGCTGCTGCAACAATTTCCATTATGAAGCCGCCAACAACAAGAATAACCATGACGCCCACCAAGGAAACACCAACTCTACTCGATGAAGAATTGTTTGAGCTCTGCACAGCTAGCTGCCCGCGGCACCGAGCCATGCTCTTTCAAGTTTGAAGCGTGTGGAGGGGTAGCGGAACCCTAAATCTATTGATGACCCGACGTTGTGGCGACGAAATGAGAACAAGCGTCGGCAGAAACAATTCATGAAAGTACAGATTAGCGTTCGACGCAAAAAGCACATCGAGGCCTTGTCAGCGGACTTCAGTAGACTGTTTGCCTAGCGCTTTCTTCGCGCGCTCCCTCCAGCGGAATTCGGATTGTGGCGCTTTTCGAGGGTTTCGGGTTTCGCTTTTCCGGCGATCGTGGGGCCCGGCGGCCGCCCGGCATATCCGCGCGGGGCGGGGTAGGGAGGTCCGAATTTCAAAGGCCCTCTGAGCACGTCCCTTTCAAACCAAAAATGATTCTTATGCCAGTGGTTTAGGTTTTAACTGTAGGTAGTGTCACGTTTTCTAGGATAATACCTTGCGGAGCTGGGAAGTGTCACTGAGTGACACCCACGGGTACGGTATCAACGTAAACCGCGCGATTTCCTCTTCGTATAATTTTGTATTTTCCAGGGCGACTTAAGGTTTGACACCCCGCGTTGTCAGGGCCACAACAGGGAGTGCTGGCAAGTCGATCACTCAATCTGAGTCTCAAAATTGTCAAACTCGAAAAAGAAAGAAGATGCAGCTGGTCAATTTCTAGGTGTGTGGCGGATGATGTAGGTATCAGATTTAAAGCCATAATGCTACTCAGCAACGGAGATGCCCATGGTGGATTTTCTCCTTCAAGTTCAAAGCTAGAATCAGGAAGACCGGTGCATCATTCTAATATTGTTTAAGGATGCTGCCTCGCATACAGAATTATAATGACCAGTCCTGGCAGTGTCGTGGCGTAGACTTCGCTTTTTGAAGAAGTCTACCTCAGGAAGACCGTGTTTTGAGTAAAGATTCTGGTACTTGAGGCGTGACGATGGCGATAGTGTTGTGATCATGCTGTAAGGTGCAGCATCAAGAAATAGTCTGGGCAGCGGAGTGGTTTAGCAACTTGCTTTAGCTTAGTAAAGCATGCGAAGCAGAAAGCTTTAGTGAGACGGGTAGGAACCTAGAGTATCTCTAAGCCACCAACGTCTGGTCCAAACAGTTCAGGAGCTGCTGAACCAGGATTCTGGGGATGGCAGACAATTGACATCTTCGTCCTGGAAGATGCTCAAAGCAGAGGCGCACGCCTGCGCTAATGTAGACCGCTACTAGCTCCATGGAGAGCAAGTATGAGATTGCAGTTTATCTGCACAGTTTCCTGAACCTGGACCTCTTCTCCCAAGGTTTCTATGCCATCAAGATCCGCTGCAGGGTAGATGATCAGCACGCTCAGAATGCGGTTCTGGGGGTTCCCGCTAGAGTCGTACAGTACGGCCAAGTAGAGGATGCAGACCCCGGGCGCGTTGCTGACGCTGTCTGGCGGTTGGAGGAGAAGGACAAGAGCTTCACGAGCAGGATTTTCTGGATAAAGTATGCGCGCCAGGACGTGCCGCTTCAGGTAAAGCTCCCTCTTTCTACCACCCCGGCTTTGTCGATAATGCCGCCCGTTCCGCATGATTCGTTGGAAGGGTGGTCAATCGCTGGTCCAATCAAATGGCGCAGCATCTGCGCCGAAGCCAGCCCTTGGCTTGAAAGAATGGTATTCAATAGGCTCCCCCCTATCATCATCGCTCACGCAAGTTTGTTCCGAATCTCATAAGCCCTCTTTTTGTTGAAAGCACATCCTGGAGGTCTACTTGTGAAGGTGATCAGAGGGAAAGTCAGCCTTTCTCTGACTTTGTTGCAACTATTGAGCGGGTGCTGGACAGGTTTCATGCTGTCTCCTGTGAGGGAACCCTGAACTTGAAAGGGCACTCTTGACAACGCTGCATCCTACGCCCTGGAAAGCTGTGTACCCTTGCAATCAACACCCATGCCCCGTTGCAGGAAATGGTGGCCTTTGACCTAGTCGTTCCGGAAGCCCACGGTCCTCCGGCTTGCGGGTTTGTCATCGATTTCGACCTGTTGCATGGAACCGCAAACAAGGAGCTCCCCCAGGGGGTCGGCACGCTGCAGCCCCCCAATGATCTCCCCCTAGTCGCCTCGCAATCTTTCCGTATCGTTCCTGCCGCCTGCACCGGCCTCCACTCCTACTGCGCCGTCCAGTTCGACACGCTCCACCTGTCGCTGTTGGATGCGACCATACACTGCACGCTGCTCGACATTCAAAATACGGCGCCCTGCGGGGGAGATAGTGTTGAGCACTGGAACGGTGTCGATCCGTCTTCTCGGGGGCAGAGCCCCGAGGCCTCTTTACGCTCCAGGGTGCGCGCGCTGCTAGCGAATCCTTCGGAAGCCGCCAGTCCCGAACCTCATGAGGGATCCCCCGCGCAATCCGTGAGTCCGACGGGCGTGACACCGCGGTCGAAGCACCCCCCCATGTCGAAAACGCTCGACAGCATGCTGTCCTCTGTCCTGCCCCCGTCAATGCTCTCCCCCAAAAACGCGGAGCCCGCCGCTGACGTGCCCCTGAAAAGCTGGCGACGGAAGAAGCCGAAAGCGCCTCCGGAAGCGGACCCTCCCGAAGTCGATTACGCAGCCGCGCTTGAGCGGTGGTCGGAGGCGAGGGACAAGCTTCAGGTAGACCTGGACGAGCTCCGGAGGTTGCTGATGGATCATGGGGTCAGCATGAAGTCATCCGGCCGAAGCCCCCGGACAGGGGGGCGCACGGGCGGCTGGAACGCGGAGGCCGGGGCCACGACGGCCTGGGAGTGGAGCGCACGGGTGATGCGCAAGTTTGTGCGGGGCCTGTGGAACGAGTTTCTGGAGCTGCATCGAGAGCAGCCGCGGGTGATCACAGAGGTGAGTGGGGCGATTGCTATTATCTCAGGACTTGCGGTGAGACTCCTTGCTGGCGTACACAGATTGTGAATGGTTTCAAGATTTGTATGGGGCCTGTGGAACGAGTTTCTGGAGCTGTATCAGGAGCAGCCGAGGGTCATTACGGAGGTGAGTGGAGAGACTGCTGCAGTTTCAGATTGCGGTCAAACTCCCGCTAGCATGCATAACCTGTGGAGCATCCCAAAATCAGTTGGGGTGGTTGTCTTGCTACGAACCACCCTACTGCTTGCGTTATCTGCTTCTTCTTCAGGATACGTCAAAGTTAAGCAGAGAAAATACCGAAGAGCATTGCGTCAAATATGTCAAATTCCTCTCAGCGTCAGCATCTGCAATACCGTAGCAACGGAGGGGTCTTATTGCTTTCTTTCACCACTTTCTGTGAGACTGTTACGTCCTTAACAAGGGCGTTCCTCAATGTCAACGGGAATGTGCCTTTCGCTCACGTCATATAACAGCGACGATTGTTAGCTTACTTGCATACTTTCTCCCGCTGCGCAGACTGCCGGTTCAATTTTCCAGCGCTTGACATTTGCCATTATCACTCGATCCGGTACTATTGTCTGCCGATCAGACGGTCTATCCAGGGGGTGTGCGAAACTGTGTGCCCTTTCTGACATGTCTTTCTTTCCACGTGCCAGCATCTACGAACCCGGTGGCGTGACGCGCGCGCCACGGAGTGGGCCTTCTGGACCGTAAACCCAGACGCCCCGCTCTCTCCAGCGGGCTCGTTCCTGGCACTGCGAGCGGAGTACGAGCAGCGCGGCCGCAAGGGGCGGTCGAGGCTGGGGCCGTCGGACGTGCTCTCTGCACGGGCGGCCGAAGCGCACAGAAAGGGCATCGGAGATGGGACGGGCTGCTTGTTACAGGTGAGCATTCGGCCATTTGTCTTAAGCTGGCAACGGTGCCCTTTAGACTGTCTCTTTGAACGACTGCTCAGTGGAGGACGATGACGAGGCTAGAAAAAGAAACGAGTTCGAAAGCGCATCGTTTCAGTTTCCGACGGGGGTGGTTATGTGGCTGTATCGGGGCTCAACGCTTCTCTCGCACATCACCTACCCCATTGTTCTGCTCTCCGGTTCTGTCGTCTTATTCCGTTTCTCTTTGCCCCAGGACCTCTCCCTCTACCAGCATCCTGAGCGCCACCCGATCCTCTCCACAGAGCGCCACGTGGCAGGCCAGCACCGCTACACGTCACTCTCCCACTACCGCCCCCCTCTGGCCGCCCTGGAAACCTCCCCCAGTAGCAGTCCCTGGTCCTTCCGGAGCACTCCCCTGGATTCGCCCGCCGACCTTTCCCCCACCTCCTCGCCCCCGCCGGAAGATACCCCCAGAATGAGTAGATTGTCGCTGCCCCCGGGGGTGGCTTACGGGAACGGTAACATGGAGCTGCCGCCGTCTGTGCAGCGTTTCCTCGCGGAGACGCCCCCCGTGGAGTCGTACGAGATGCTGGTGCAGGAAATGGCGCGCGTGTCGCCGCCGGGGGTGCACGTGGTTGTGTTTGTACATGGGTTCCAGGTCAGGATTAGGTCACTCTTTCTGAAGCAGTCCAGAGCCATCCGCGATGGTCTCTCTCATACCGCATGTTCTTTCCTATACAACAAAGTTCGTTCTCAAAGAATGTCGTCCTGCCACTGAGCCCAGTGAGTGATCCTATAAACTTTGTTCGATCACACTCTCTCTCTTGTTCCTTGTGAATCTTATCTGACACACATTCCTCATGACTCTCCTTCTCACCACCTTTTGTGCGCCTGGCTCTTGCACTGAAACATTCCTTTGGGCAGATCTGATGAGCGAAGTCCCCATGACCGTTGATCCAAAATGTCGTTGGCAGCCTCTTCTTGAGACTGGCCATAAAAGTATCCTACTCATCATCCCCAATGATGCGCTGCCACTGCACGTCAGAATCAAGCAGGATATCAGCTGGAGCTGTTTAAGTCTCACTTGTACGCTTGACCGTTTGAAGGTTCTACTTAATGTTGTTGTTCCGAATTCAGCAAGTTGGTTTGTTTCCACGCAGGGCCACCACCTGGACTTGCGCCTGGTTCGCGACCATTGGCTCGTCCTGGACCCCTCCATCGAGCCGCTCATGTCGCACGCAAACCAGGACCTCACCTTCGAGCCCATCCAAGACATGGGCGCGCGTCTCGCGCTCGAAGTCGCGGAGTTTCTCGACGCCCTGTTTGGCAAACCCGCGCGCACCCACGGGCGGTCCACCCTCTCCAAACTCAGTTTCGTGGGGCACTCCCTCGGTAACCTGATCGTGCGGTCAGCGCTAACCCACCCCGCGCTGGAGCCGTTCCTGGGGCGTCTTCACACCTGCCTGTCGATATCCGGGCCGCACCTGGGGTACCTGTACAGTGGGAATGCGCTCTTCAATTCGGGGCTGTGGTTCATGAAGCGGTTCAAGAACTCGGCGTGCATGCACCAGCTGACGTTCTCGGACCGGGAGAACGTCCAGGAATGCTACCTGTTCCAGCTCAACCAGGCGCGCACCCTGGACCTGTTTAAGAACGTGATCCTCGTCGCGTCGCCGCAGGTAGGGTTTTGGAGCTTTCTTGGATCTCAGGGTTTTGGTGGCCTAACAATACAGGCCCTCTTACCTTGGGTTCAGCTTCAACCGAAAACAGCTGGGTTCGCCAGCGTCACATTTCCGGTCCCCGTACAGCTTTGTACACTACCGCTCTAGCTGAAATTTGTACAGGTCTGTACTTTTCCTACTACGTGAGCGATTAGAGAACTTCTTAATGATTCTGAGGACCGCAGGTAAGCGCTCACCTATACCAGTCGACGCAAAAGCTTATCATCTGTCATTGGCATTCGGCACGCTCGCTGGATTTCTGTTAACAATATGGGCTTCATCACCTCGCGCATTTTAAGCACGACGATCCCAAGGGCGCTCAGGCTGCAAGCCGGATCTTGACCAGGATGTGTCCTCTCCGCCCCTTAAGGTTTGGCTGGCGTCTGCGCCACATTTTCCTTTTTAACAGGCGCACTGCTGTGTCGAGCGTTTTCCCGTACATCGCCCTGGCTCAAACTCCTCCGAGACAACTTGCTGTATGCGGTCCTAGACTTTCGTCTGTGTTCCGCAGGACCGCTATGTACCATACCACTCGGCGCGCGTCGAGATGTGCTCGGCGGCGATCAAGGACCTGAAGAGGGGCCCTGCATACGCAGCCATGATCATGGGCTGCTTGGGAAAGCTGACGGGGGCGACCGGGGACGCGGAGGGGCTCGAAAGGTGGGCTCCCGGTCTTACTCGGATTTGTTGTGCGACTTTCATCTGCAGCTAGACAACGCAACAATGATGTATTTCTCTAGGAACGTTGTCGGAGATATGCGGACCTGATCACGGGTGACAGCGTAAAGCGTCTAGTTACCAAAGTTGCATCAGATGATTTTCCCTTCCTCGTCAGGGGTACGCCAAAAGAAACTGATCAACAAGGACTGACTTAGTTGACTAGAAGTGAACGGAGGAGAAACGAAGCAACAATTCTCCGCCAATCATCGAGAGCTGTGTACTGGAGTGATCATTGTTAAGTTCGCACACGACGAAAACTTGGGCTTCTGAGCTTTCCGCTCGGAGTCTGGGGCTTTGATAGAGCTTATGTGCTGCTTCGCTTCATGGTTGTCCTGCGGAATTAAGTCCTCAACGGGCCAGCAAGACGTAGCAGGAACGGCAATGCGATATGATAAAATATGCGGAGGCTGACGTGATGTGCTTGCTGCCTTGTACTTCAGGTCGCAGACTCTGCTACGGTGTGACGTCAATTTCGACACGGCCGCGAGCGGTCGGACATTCAGCAGCATGTTGGGCCGGACCGCCCACATCGAGTTGCTGGAGAACGATGTGTATATCAGGTGCCTCTTGTGGACGCATAAAGACTGTTTCCTCTGACCTCGGAAGTGACTCACAATTAATCTCGAAGAATTGCTGTTGGGAGTAGGGTTTAAGCTAATAACGTCTGGTGGCGACTGCTAAAAGGTAGTGCCTTCGTCGACAGCGCAAGTCAGCCGTCGGAGTTGGTCTTCGTAGATTCGGTTAGCGGAAGGGTTCCTTGCTAGTAGCTATGGCGGGTTGCCTGTGGGCGCCTGATTGCATTCGAGACGGTGCTCGTTCGGAAGCGAGTCTAGGTGGTGGTTTCGGATATGTTAGCGCCTATGGCTGTTCGAGGGTGCCGGGAGTACGACAGTCAGTGGTGAGGTTGCTGGCATGTGTATCATGCTAGGACGTTAGGCTTTAGCTAGTCCCGGTTAGCTTCAAGATAGACATTTTGCTATGAGTATGATGTACATTTGCGTAGTTCGAGCCGAGGTTCGGCGAATGCATTATTGACACTTGCATTGAAGCAGTGTAATGTGTTCGAGCCCATAATTGTCAGGGGGAGCCTTCTTCCTAGTAAATTAATCATAAGTGCGCACAGATTGGCCCCACGAGCTGACGGTTCAACAGGACACGCGCCCGCGGCCGCTTGCTCAAAGCGTCCAGCTACTTTCCGGGCCAGTCGCCTTGATTGTTTGTTCGACCCTATTCCAAATAAGTATCAGTATACCAGTTACCAGATTATGTCGCTAACTTGAAAGCTCTTATGCACACTTTTATTGGTGTCATTGTGCTCATGGTCACAGTATTGATTGTCTCGTCGGACTGACTCCCCATGCTGACACACCTATGTCACGGCACCATGACGAGACTAATCATTCGGGCAGCACGTCGCTAGACCAAAGAGCTGCCAGCTAGGCACCGTGGGGCTTGAGATTCCAGCTATTCCCCGGTATAGGTGATCGGCGCCCTGCTTAAGCAGCTAGTGCGCCAAGCCCGGGCGTGCATAATTCTGTATATAAGTTAATCGACCGCGACAAAAGCTAGAATGGGGAGAACCATATATGGCAATATAATAGGTAATGATGATGGTGCTACCTGGCAGAAACAGACAATCAATCAATCGCGATATCTAAGGTCTGCCGTCCACGAGATAAAACCAATCATCGATAAGAAAGGCGTCGCGAAGGGAGTGACTCAGTACGTTATGAGTCCCGGATTGTATACGAGCCTGTAAAGGGCAAAGCATCGAGGATGATCACGTGTACTATAACTTTTGGCAGTGAAATTTCGAACCCGTGCTCACAATATTGATTAGTCATGGTTTGACCGATGCCGAAACTCGATCGAGCCATTGACCTCACATATCCGAGTAGAGAACCTTGATGCATATAAAAATTGAGACTTATAATGAGAAATGTTACCGCTATCATCCTACTCCTGCCGGAAGCCTCTTGCGAGAACTGAGCTTCACGACATGCCACAATAGCACGAATTTCGCCTGATCGGTCAGATCGCTACTTCGTCTCCATCGTCTCCATCTTCATTACGGATTCCCATTGCCCTTGTCTGTATTGGGGACTCGCTTCACAAGCCACCCGATGCACGGCATCACCCCCCGACCGTCCTCAGTCACCGTCACACCACAGCTTCCGGCGACGAGCAGGTTATCAGTTTCGGCACCATTGTCATTAATGATGAACGGGCACTCCACCAGCCCTTTTGGTATCTTGTCACTCACGAGTGACGTACAAGGGCGGAGTTCATCCCCGTTCCGCTCGTACGGAAAGAACGCGCAGACCCAGCCGGAAATGCCATGGGGGGTTGGCCCCGACCCGTAGCTCTCCTTTTCATGAATCACCCGGCTCCACCAGTCCTGGTCCACCTTCCCCCGGTACGTATCCACCAGCTTCTCCAGGACCGGTTCCAGCCTGTCGAGCCACTTATTCAGGCCGATGTTGAGCGCGCGCAGCGCGCGCGCCTTCGTCACGAGGCGCTCCCAGTCCGCGAGCGTGCCGTGCAGAGAGACGGACGGAATGCCGCACTCGAAGCACATCTCGTACACGAAGTAGTGCTTCATGGCGTCCATCAGAACGATCTGGCTCGCGGTTTTGGAGATCAGGTCGGTTGTGGAGAAGTCGTTCACGAGGAGCTTGCCGGTGTCGCCCTTGACCCGCACCTCTAGTTCGTTGATGATGAGCTGGATGCACTTGGGCCAGTCCAAGTAAGTCCCATCAGCTGCGAGGAGAAAAGTAGGGATCAGAGGATTTTTCCTGAGAAGCATGGAAGTAGAAATTAACTGTGAAATTTTCTTACTTCTTCAGTCCTTCTTGATTTGTACAGCTCACGATAAGTCGCAGCTCGGGGATGTAGGCCGTAAAGGACATTCACGCCGCTTCCTCGATTCAACTTAGGAGTCTAAATTCCGAACCTGATTGAAAAGCCCTCAGCAAATCAGAATCTTAAACGAGACTATAGAGACTACAGCAGTTACTGCGGATGCAATTAAACAATCCTGTAGTAAGGAGGTGCATCTGATGACGAAACCGACAGAAAAGATCTGACATCTAGCACTGAATCCTACAATGTGAAAGGCTGCTGTCAGCAGTCCACAAGCTTTTCAGAAGTTCCTGAAAGCACGAGATTATCACTGAGCAGAAGTTCTTGTGCGTTCAGTGCGGATCTTTACCAGAGTTGTTTTGTTCAGATTCACAAGCAGAACAGGTGCTGATATATCAGCCCGATATTTCAACAGCTCCAGCAGTCGAAAGAACCACGCTCGGTGCTTTCTTTGACGCGACTGAACAGGAAAGTGATTCTAGACAACCACAATCCGCACTCTTTGGTTAAACAATTACCTAGACAGAGTTTACTGGTCTCGAGACCCGGGGGTTCCGCCAAAAGCGAAGAAAAGATTCTGAAAGGTCGACCTTACCGGTTTCAAGACCGTTGACGCAGACACTGATTGTTTCCTTCCCCTCGTGGTCCACAAAGACGTGCCTGTACTTCTCAGCGTTGTCATTGTACTGAAGATGCGCAGAGACTCCTTGAGCAATGGCTAGCCAAATGTCATCTGGCCTCAAATGAAGACAGTAGTGTTCAGAATATGCCATGCGAACAGCTCCGAACAAACCACTCTCAAGCTCCCCCCAATTTTTCACCACCACAGCATCGGAAACAGCGAAGACTTCTGAGTCTTCATAGTGCTTGTTCTCGGTACCTCCCAGAGTCATGTGCTTGCGCAAGCTGTGAACAAACACCTCTCGCTCGGTGTCGGAGCCAGGGCGAGGGTACCTGTCCTCTGTGAATGTTTTGAGGGTCCTGGCGGTGATGTGGGGTGCCAGGATCTGCGTGCTGCTCGCTTGTTGCGCCATCGTTCTGGACTTCTGATTGCACGGAATGATAACTGTGAAAGCGAGGTGTGATCAAAGAGCTTCTTCAAAACGTCGGGCAAGTCTTGCCAGTCAAGCTACTTATCGAACTTTCACAGAAGGAAGTGAAAGAGATCAGCATGTTCACGTCTGAGCCATGACCGATCTGCCGCACTCTGCACGACGTGCCGGTGAGTCACTTAAGACGTGCTGCACCAGTCACGTATATAATCCGACGGTCGTCCGAAGCCCGTTGCATTGTGAAAGGGGTTTAAGCAAGACCCGGACTTGACTCCTTTGCGCGCGCGCAGGCCGCGCGCGGCCGCCACGCGGCGCACACGTACGTAACGCATATGACCCATGCGTATAAGTGCGAGTCCATCAGCCAGGCAATGAAACCTTCTTGGTTGTTTTGCCAGCCTGCAGGTTCTGGGCTTCTCCGTGTGACACGTTTTGCTTATCAAGATACTGAAGCAGTTTTGTACTTTCAATCGGATGGTCATCAGCTCACATCAATCTTCAACTTTACAAGAAGCGCACTTCCGACGCTCTAAAATGCGAGACAATTTCACCTTAATCGTACGTCTATATATCACAGTCCTGATTTGAGCAACAAGAGTGCGTGCATGGCTAATCGACTAATTGACGATGACTTGCACTTGCAGCCGGTCACTTTATCCAACAATCAACTTTGGCGTTGAACAACTGCATGATGTTCGTCTCTGCATTGCAACCGATGCATGATACAAGCGCACGAATGACATGTTCCAGGAATCCTCTAATTGAACGGGACAATCTCCGACTTTTGAGACTTCGAGAAGATAACTTAGAATTGGTGTTCGTGCGCGCCTGGACCGGACCAAGAGAGTGTCCGACGGGACCTTGAATGTTGACTGAAAACTTAATTGCCCGAAACATTACTTCAAAGCATGAAATCAATCATTGAATGAGCTTGTGAGTTTTAACTTACGGTAGCCGTACGTGGCTCAACTGTTTTATACGTATAGTCGTATAGATTGAACTCATAATCTGCATGGCAGGTTTATACGGTCCTCATGCATGACGATCAACCTACTGAAAGTTGGCCGGAATAACTACCATCAGCTAGTATATCTATACAAAGCTAGCTATAGGCGCATGCTGATATCAACTTTGTGCAAACTAATTTCCATCACTTGCTAAGAATTGTATGTCATTGAAGCTTGTATTCTACAGAGTATCGCGGCTGCATCATGCATGTCAATCTTGACTGCATGCGTGACTCAGTCTCATGCATTGATAGCGAGTTGCGGTCAATTCGAGTCCGCGCCGCCGGGCCCGGGCTGATCCCCCATGTACCATGCAGACGCGGTGTCGGGGATTCGGGTCTAGTTCGTCATGTCAAGTTACTTATCATTTGATTGGCTAACAAGTTCAATGTATCACGTGGATCAAAATTGACTAACTAAAGTTTGGCCTGCTCGGAAATGGACGTAATTTCTGGCATCTTCAAGATGCATGCACTGCATATTTGTTTCTCGTCCAATCAATACCACTCTTGCTAAGCTTGTTTCGAATGATTTGAGGTTGTAATCTAAAATAGACAACTATCAAGCCGGGCTAAGATCCGGGGTCTCTTTCCGGGCTACCTTCTCGTCCGGCACTCGACCGTGCCGAAACTATCAATGCCAAGTCTACCATGCGACACACATAAATGAGCTGGACGCCCTGCCGTTTTGAGTAGTCGTTATGAGATATTATTGCAATCCGCCCTTTGTAGAATAACGATAGACACTTCACTTGATAGTGAAGTCTAAACCTGCACTGATCTATTCAAATCTTAGGTTCGGCACTGGCCAGCCTACATGCCTGAGCATCTAACACTCTCTTAAGCTCCTCGATCCGCACTGGTTTGCTGCAACAGGGCAACACAAGATTTAAGGACGCGATCAAATGAGAGGCAACGGACAATCTAAACCACGACCTGATCACAACTCATGTCGGTGAAAAGCGTTCGGAGTTCCGTACGCAAGTTTGGGACTCGTGGGAAGGCGCCGTTTGACAGGATTGAGGAGTTTTAATCTTTTGCTTGCCCAATCTCCTTTTTAAACGAGAAAAGCTTGGAATGTTGAGACTTGACGCATCTTCAAGTTGCGAGTACGCGCAACTTCTCACCTTATGTAGTCGTCCATTCCGGCAGCGAGGCACAGATCTCTGTCCCCTTGCATCGCGTTTGCCGTCACAGCAACTAGATACGGCCGCGTTCCTTTGGGGTATGCGGTACAGATAGCCCGCGATGCTTGCAGACCATCTAAGACGGGCATCTGCAGAAGAGACAACAGGTAGAGATCGTAAACTACATTCAGGCAGTGGCTAGTCAAAGCGGCGTGATGTTCAGGTAAAGTCAAAGCGACGTCATCTTCAGATAAGCAAAGAGGTCTCACGCAAGTGTGCAAGCAGTACATCCGAAAACGCTGAACGTCTGATAACGTGGCAGTCCCGAGTAAAGTCTCGACGTTAAGCTACGACGATGGTCGTTGGATCGTCTCGACTCAGTCGAAAGACAACCGTTCGAGATCATTGGTCCAAGAATGTGGCGGTACAGGCACATACGCGAGCACCACGTGGCACCTGCCCACAAAAACGGCAGCAATCAATATACGCCACGTGACACTTGCCTGTCAATCATCAAACCGAACTGGCGGTACCAACCCGATCTCTCGAAAGCACCACGCGGTACGTACCGGAAAACCCATAGGGATTACAGGGTACGTACCTGCAAGTCCATGAGGACCACGTGGTACGGCCGCGTTTGCAGCGCCTGGATGCACTCCAGCCCGTCCGCGACACAGTCCGCAGTGTACCCGAGCCGCTTCAGAAGGAGGATGGCCACCCGCTGGTTCACCATATTGTCCTGAGACAGCCAGAAAACAGAGGTTTTGACACATTTAGGGATCTAGGGCTTCAAGGTTTTTGGCTTTTATTAAGTTGGCCACCTGCTGCTCTGCCATATTGTCCAGGGGGTTGCCAAAAAAGGAGGTAAGGAGTCCTATTTTAGTATGAGGATCTTACGAAGATTCTTAAGTTCTTAGATAAGGTTGCTCCAGCATATCAGGTTGTCTGACCCGCGGTATACCAGGGGCACAGCTACGGTTCCTTTCGGATGCGACAAGGCGACGTCTGACAATTGGACAGCCGGTCTCAGAATTGTAATCCGTCGTTTCACGAACAAGCGACACTTCAGCTGAGCAACGCCTGGGAACATCCATACAACATCCGTGTCCCTTCAACAATCGCCAGCATGACCGTCAAGACAAGAGCCCAGAAGGAAAGGCACGCCGTCATAAGTTTCTGTTGCTTTGCCGGGCCCCGTATCTATCATGCAAAATCCTCCGGCGTATTTCGACGTCAAGCTGGGCAGCGCGTATATTGCTGGCACCATCAGTGCCGGAACTGCCTTTTCAACAGATCTGTGACTCAAACCCCAACCCAAGGTTTGCCTGATCCAGATTTCTTTGTGGTCTGGTCACGCGGCTCTCACCTTCGGAGGCCCCTGCCGAGCACTTTCGCCTTTCGTCCCTCTTTTCTTTCCCTCGTCGTTCTCTGGAACCCTTGACATGACTGCGCGAAAGTGAAAGAAGGGGCCCAACGGTGGAGTCTCGACAGTCAATTTAGCAGAATTCTCACCTCCGCAATCAAGATTCTGAGCAGAGCCCGCAGCTTCGAGCTCGACTCCAGTCTGTGCGGCCCCGCCCCCGCGCACGGAAGCACGCCGTTCGCGGTGGGAGACCCATTGCTATGGGCGCCCGTCGTTAGGAGTTTGTTTGCGGCGTCCCACAGGCTGGCATGTTTCACGGGCTTGCTGATGATGATCACGCGGTCGTGATCCGTCCGCTGCGCAACAGAAGAGGCCGGCTTTCAGCCTTTGTTTGAAATCGGGAAATGATACTTTTTACGGAGGTTGAGGCTAGAGCCCTCGCGAGGTTGCTGTGGGTTCAAAGTGTGGCCACCGTCGCAGCAGACTCTCTTTGTATGTTTGAAGATTTCGGGCCGTTCTGATCATTGCACAACTCTGTTCCTTCCATTGCAACATTGCAATCAGGCCCGGGACTTGCAATCAAAGACCTGCGTTTCAGGTGTCCGCGCTCTGCTTCTCTGGAAAGTTTGTAGTTTCTCCCTTACTTGAAGCATGGCGACCGCTAAACGGTGCACTGCTGACTGGCCATACGTTCCGACAAGAATGACAAGGTCGGTAGCGGATTCCAGCGGGGAAATATCCAAAAATCCTTCTTACAAGCACTGATTTCGACAGTTGCGAATCGGCCAACGGAGCAGGACCAGGAAGGGATTGCGGCGAAGCTCTTGCTCCAGGCTCGATAGCATTTTTCTTCCGATAAACCAACCCCCAAAGGTCTCTGTCGGCGCTTAAAGGTGAATTCTTAACCTGCTCGTGAGTGGGGCAGGGAACATCCGCCCAAATTGTTTTGGACCGATTCACGGTGCACTAAATCTCTGGTGAAGGATGCAGATGCTGGTGCTTTTCCGGAGTGTCAGCACAATGCGTTCAGTCTTTTTGCAGCCCCGCATGCCGCAGTCACTGAGAGAGAGCTCTGGGTATCAGATTTTTTGACTTTTAGGGTTGAAAAGAGGAATAAGGGTCTAGAAGTTTGAACCCCGAGCCGTCTGCTCACCTGTGCTTTGGCCTCCCTCTCAGTCCACGTGCTCAGAATGACCAGGGGGAATCGGGGCGCTGCCTTCAGAAAAGCGCACCCGGCAATCGTTCCGCAATTGAGAGTGCTGAGGTCGGTTACTCCAAAGTCGAACGAGGGCTTTGTCTGCAGAAAGACCCGGAAACGCTGTTGCTCAAAGGTTGAGGTAAACTAGAGAAAATTAAAGCAGGTAGCCTTTATAGACATCTTTTTCTAACAGAAGCGGAAACTCATCACCGCATGTTGAGCCTATGTAGACACCACAGAGCGGACAACCAGGCTACAAGAATACTCGCAAGATAACGAGCGCACAACTTTCTTCGTCCAACTCCTTTGTGCGGAGACTGCTCGCTGCGATGATGCTTCTCGCTGGCCTGCCTAGCAGCCCCAAACGCTGAGAGGTTCGCATCAAAATCACGATTCAAGCATCCGATGCTTTTGAGGCCAAACCCATCCAAGCTCGGCATTTCTCCTTTCCGGCGCTCACCGTGTGGAGCGCTTCTAAAGCGTCCCCCTCCGTCGCGACCGCAGTGGACTTTATCCCCCACACCGCGACCTGCTCTTCTAGAATGGCTCTTAAGCTGGCATTACGCGCGACTAGTAAGCACGTTTTGCCCTGCAATGCGCGCGCGTCTGCCGGCACCGCTTCAATCATGATACTAGGTGCAGTCTCTAGTTGCACGGCGAAGCGGAAGGTGGAACCAGCCCCGAGGGCGCTGTCGACGGTAAAGTGGCCCCCCATTGCCTGCATTCGGATGAGCGTTTGTGAGTGGTTCTGACAAAGCGAAGGCCATTGGTTTGCAGTTCTGCACCGTAGGACGTGGTAAACATGGCTCGAGCACTTCGATTCGAGGGCGTTCTTGTACTTTAATCGAGAGGAACAAGATACGCAAGCGGGGCCAACCGACAGTCCGTACCGACGCCTTGGCACGCGGAACCCATCAACATGCTTACTTTTCAAAGCCTTCGGAAATTCAACTCACTCCAAGGCTGTGGATACTTTGGGGGCTGCACAATGACTATTTTGGATGCGGAAAAACGTAGCGCTTCAGCGCTTCACGATTGTCCCTAGTACTTGCTGTTGGAGCATATTAAGCTACAAACTAAGTCGTTACGCATTCTCCACAATCATGATATGTAGGCAGAATCCACGGCCTCTTCCCTTTTAACAGCTGCGCAGTGTTCGTTTCTATGCTGAAGTCCTCAGACGACAAATCGATGGCCAGAAGATCAAATCAGAGACAAAATGATTGTACGGAAAGGGTATTATGCACACAGGAAGAACGAAAAGAAGAACACGAGAGAGCCGATTACCCTGACGAGCTTGTTGGAAATGGCGAGGCCCAAGCCAGTGCCCCCAAATCGACGAGTTGTCGATGCGTCCGCTTGCGAGAAAGCGGTAAAGAGGCGGGGGATGTGTTCCGCGGCGATCCCAATGCCAGTGTCTGGGGGCGAGGAAAAACGGCGGCAGCGAGCGGTCAGCGCAGTAAAGAGCTGCTAGAAACCTCGAAAATGTTGACGATCTGGTGAAACCAAAAGGAGCGGGAATTGGTGTAAGATACGAAGGCCTCAGCAGTGTTGCACGGCGTTTAGCGGGTCCAGTAACTCGAGGTGAATTCACCTTCCCTTCAACCGCAGCCAGCATTTATCATCATTCGCGCTTTCAAGCAACTCAAAGTGCAGCAAATCGATCCCACATTCGGGAGCGTTTCCACCTAGAGCAAAACGTGCCGGTCCAACAATGGATAGCCCTGCATATTGCAAGCGTCAAAAGCGCTCACCTCTGCACGAGAACTCGAGGGAGACCGCTTTGTCGTCCGACTCGATGCACTTGGCCTGGAGGATGACCTCGCCCTCCTCCGTGAACTTCACCGCGTTGCTCAGCAAGTTGACCTACAAACACGTCAGCACGTGTCGTGTTTTCTCAAGAGGTAGAAATATAACAAGATATCACCACTTTTTATATCTTGCAACCCCTACGTTGTGGCGCAGAGCATCAGATTGCTGCCGGAACCTATGTTTACAGGCGACCCTTGCCGGCTGTCCCTTTGTCAAACCTGCACTGTCCACTCCAGTAACTTGTCACTGTCTGAGCTGTTGAAAATCAGAGCGCGGTGACCCGATACTGAGCTTGCCTGCGGCGTGCTGGATGCTCATCCGATCTTCGACTTTTCGAAAACGACACCACGAGGCGCGCCAATGTCACTTGACTTGGCCGGGTCGCGAGATGTCGCCCAAACGGTGCCCGGTACGTTCGCAGCCGTGTGCATCGAAAGCTCTAGCTGCTCGTATAGGAGAAAGTCAACCAAGTCCTCGACCCAACGCAGAAAAAACACGATAAGCATTCCCCATGTACACTCTCACCAGGACTTGGCGCAGCCGCGAGACGTCGCCCAGAACGGTGCCCGGTACATTGGCGGCAGTGTGCGTCGCGAGCTCCAGCTGCTTAGTAGCGGCTTTGGCGGCGACCAAATCGGCGGCCTCCTCGAGGCACTGCCGCACGCTGAAGGGCGCCGACTCCAGCTCTAGAGTGCGCGCCTCGATTTTGCTGAAGTCCAGAATGTCGCTTATCTGCGGACGAAGATGGCGGGAGGAAAGTTGGAAGCGTGCAATCCTCGTTGAGGTTGAGAGTGCCTCCTGGGCGACGTATACGCAATACAACGGATGGCTCCTCTTCATAAGCTGTTGCTTTTACATGAGGACGTACTTCTGATGACATGAACATAGAAGATTGAGGCAACCAGCGCTTAACGTCAGTATAAACAATTTGCGACTACCTGCCAGCGTTCCCAAGACTTTCCAGTTAGGCTGCTCGTAAAGAAAACGGCAGCTGCAGCCCGGTGCATTTGTCAAGAATACTAACTACAAATAGGGGAAGACTCCATTTCCAAACCTTTTCAAGAGACTATCTGCAACACCTACATTTCTACATGTTCAAATCCAGCGAAAAACTAGAGAAGTGCTGCCCTCTCACCAGGCCAAGAAGTTGGTCGCCCGACTGCCGAATGGTCTCCACGCACTCGTGGTGTTCCCGCCACAGGTCCGTGCCAAGCAGGAGTGACGTCATGCCGATGATCGCGTTCAAGGGGGTGCGGATCTCGTGCGACATAGTCGCTGCAGGGAGGGGGAGATGCATTCACTTTCTTAGCCAGGAATGATGAGACATTGAAACAATACGGCAGTCGGTCGATGACGAGTGATCAGTTGAGTTTTCAGTGATCACTTGAAAAGATGAGGGACGATGAGTGCAAAAATTCTTCAAACGGATCCAATCAAGAGTAACGGGTGATCAAATAATGAGAGGAAGAAAAGGCACAACAGTTGCTGGAAAGGATGAGACTGATGAGCAATAAACGGAGGCACGGCGGGCTGCCAAACACTCGTTTTCTGGTCATGCTGTCCTCTTATTGTTCCAAGCACGCCGTCAGCGCTGGGAGGGAGCCGCCGCTCCCTAAAGTTCCGACATTGGCTCAAGTTGATCATAACGACGCGAACCTGAAGCTGCGTTACGTCATCCGCTCTTAAGGGTCCGTGCACATTGTCCGCACACTGCAAATGACGAGCTTCGGCCGCAAACGAGCGGGAAGTGTCCTTACCCAGAAAGAGGCTTTTGGCTCTTGTTGCCTCCTCTGCCAAGTTCTTGGCCGTCAGGAGCTCGACTTCGCGGCTCCGCATCTGCAGACACGTGACCACTTTAAAGCAGTGCGACTAGCCGCTACGCACAGGCGAAGCGCAGTGCATGGTCACCGTATGCACAGTGAGTTTACGACAAAGTGACTTCTGGATGAGATACTTTGGAGCTTTGGAAGGCGTGTGCAGTCGCCAGATGGGCTAGTTCGCAGCTACCCAGGTGCTCATGAAACCGACCTTTTTAAATCTTCCTTACGATCCGACAGTCGTCCTTGGTTGGTTTGAATCAAATGGGCCATTCGCTTGACCTCTAAGACGCCGTATAAACCGGTTCAGTCTCCGGAAAACAAAGGGGGCATTGGATCGGCGGCACGCACCTCGGCATACATGTCGCTGTTCTCGATGCTGATGGCGATCTGCGCGCTCAGCATGGCCAGCGTCTGGATGCGCGCAGCGGGGAACGCGTCCGGCAGCAGGTCGTGCTCCACGTATAACACACCGCCCACCTCTGCACCGTTTGCATTGGTTTCCGGCTCAGCAAACAGTTATTATTTGGGTAGCTGACCTCCAAAACAGTCTTGAAAAAGGGCTGACCAGCAGCAGTCTGGCCCTCGAGGAGCTAAGTATGCTCCACGTCCGTCACACCGCCCATCTCTGCGCATTTTGCATTTGTTTCGCGGTCTCAAGAAAGGGCTGACAGACAGCAATCGAGCCCCGAGCAGGTCGTTTTTTGCTAAGAACGAAGAGAGGCCTCCGAAGTGTCTTTTTTGAATGGCTAAAGTGGAACTCGTCGATGTAGAGACGGTCGGTCTTTTGTGCAGCACAAAGCCCAAAGTAACAACGTCAAACGGGTCTGAAAGGCGATGCAAGAGCGACCGGCTTCTTGTACGGAGGTCCAGGCTGTGATGTTTCGTGTCGCGAGTTTGGGGCGTGCTTCCACTGCTAATGATCATCGGTCTGATTCCAGTCAAACCCCTGTCCTCTGTCTCAAAAACCCAAAATTCAACCAGAACCCGAAATTAGATCCACATTTGAAACACCATCAATCAATCTGGTTTCGATTCTTTCGATTGTGATAGTGGTCCTCTGTCCTGTTACATGGCAAACGTCGGTTGACCTCGTCTAAGTACGGAACTTAGAGTTACCATCGCTTTCCAAACACTAAAACCTCACCTCCGTGCCGCACAATGGGCATGCACAACACCGACTGCGGTTGGTGCCGGTCCAGGTACGGGTCTTTGACGGCGGCCGCCTGCCCCCCCCCCTTCAGCATCACCACCTCCTGCGTCCGCGAAACGTACAACACAAGCGCCTGGGGAACCAACGCGCCCGCCGCACTCAGCGGCATGGGGGCCAGTTTGGTCAGCACTCCTTCCGACATTTGAGCTGCAGTATCATCCGCAAACCTGAAGCAGAATGGCGAAGGGGTATGGAGTGAGTTTACGGGGGTCTGAAACTGGAGCACTAGGACTGCAAAACGCGACTGGCAGCGAACTTTGAATAGCGTCGAGCGTGCAACACCCTCGAAGTGGACCCATGACCAACTGAGAGTTGTCCCTTTCAATCAGCGCATCAGCTCTAGCCACTGCCCGAGGTGACAATCTGGCAGAAAATGACTACTTCCTTACCTGGCCAATAGTGTTAGATTATTATCAAGAGGCGTAACTGGTCAATAACGATCAATCTAAAAAGTAGCCCTACGTCTGCCAAACCATTCAAACTCTGATGATCAATAGTTGAGGCTTTCCGAGGTGCAAAGATCGATACGAGAATGATATTCGCAAGAAGCAAATAACTACCTGAAGCGCTTTGTTTCCGTCGGGTCCTCTGGTCGCTTCCCGGCCGCGCGACCGGCAACACTCGCGCTCCCTTCAAGAAACCACCCGCTCTCGCCCGACCGCTGCAGCACGAGCACGACGTAACGCGCGCCTGCCACTTCCATCACTATATTCAGCAACTTTTCCAACAACGCCTCCCGCACGATCTCGCTACTCAGGGTCTGCGACGCGGCCAGCACTGCGCGCACGTCGAGGCTCTGTAAGCTGTCCTCCGTCAACTGCCCGACGGGCTGAAGTGAATCGATTGTGGTTGTGTTGAGTGCCGAGTCTGTGCTCGGGGATGCGCTTCGACGCGGCGGGGCCGCCGGCTTATGCCGTCCGGGCCGCTGGTGGGGGGGGATGATTGGCAGGCGCTGGACCACCGCGGCCCCCCCCCAGGCGGCGTAAGCGTCTTGCGCCTCGGTGAGGTGCCACGCTGCGGTGCGGCGTCGGCCGGCCGCCGCGTAGTGGCGGCTTGCGAGCAAGTGTGCCAAACCGATGTCCTGGACAACAAGAACACGAGGTCAGGGTTGAAGCTATGAAACCAGGAGCGTTGATAGGTGGTGAGTGTTCAGGTCGATGAGTTGCGGAGAAGAGGTCGGCGACATGCAGGCCCAGCAGTTGATTGAAAGATGATTATAGTTGAGGAGGCTAGCATCGGCTGCCTCCTTGCCGCATCTAACATCAGTGTCCATCTCCGATAGACTCGCTTCGATAAAGTTTCGAAGAGGCAAGGCGAATCTGCTTCCTGCAACTCATCTGTTAACAGAAGCAAATACTCCGAAAGCCCTCAGCACGAAAGTTTGTCTTGCGACTTGTTGAACGACGAATCTGCACAAGCTGGCAGACTCGGGACACTGAGCAGGTTGACGCAAAACGGCGGCCGACCTGAAGGAAGTTGCCCGCCTCTGCACCGTCGATGGCCTTCTCATACGCCACTTCTGCTGCTAGGTGGTCGCCTTCCAAGCGCTGCTGCTCCGCGAAGGCGAGCCAGTAACGGTGCCCGTGAAGAGGGGGGTTCACATCGCCGTACTCTTTGAGAGCATCAACGCACCTGCCGGTGGAACGTGGGGTCGGAACTCTCGATACAAGATTGACCATTTTTGGGAGGAAGAAGATTTCGAGACGGAAGAGTCGAGTAACCATGACGTGTAGGTTCGACGGAAAGTTTGGGTTCAAACACAAGGACAAAACCTCGTTGTTAAAGCAGAAGGCTGTATATGTGCAAAGCATTTCCGCAACCGGAACCCCGGCATCGAGCTTCTATTGACATTACGGCAGGTGCAAAGCAGGATCATAATTCAGCCCAACGTCGAGCCTCTTTCTACTTTGCGAGTTCAATCCAAAGTCGCATACGAGCCGGATGCTTCCTATTGCCACTACTTCCTTTGCGAGCCAAGGAAGAAGATCTTTCAACCACTTAAGCGCAGCAATATCGAGTAGGTGCAGAGAAAGATCACCGCCCAAACACAACTTCTGGATATACGCACTCTCCAAGCCGGCGCTCCCAGTAGGCGGCTTCAGAACTCGGATGAGGGGCCGGGGCGCCAGGGACACGGGCGGGCAGGAGCTGAGCGCATGCGAGAGCCTCATAGAAGGATAGTAGTACGGAAAAGACAATTGGTTGCAGCACCTCGCGGGTCGGCTCCACCGCGGCTACCACCTTTAGCAGAGCTCTGAGGAGGACGAAGGGAGAAAACGGTAAAGCAAGAGCGGGCATTATGCTTCTGATTAGTATGTTTGAGCTTTTGATTTCCTTGTGTGGAGAAAGTTACTGCTTCATTTGCAAGGTGGACCTGCAATTCAAATCCACAGATCGTAAGGCAAAGTTTTCTGTTCAGCACGTTCAAAATGGTCCAAACGACGGCAATTTGCGTTAGAAATTGGCACCCAAGCTTCAGAGCCAGGTCTTCACCAACGAGAATGATGAGCAAGAGAGATACGGCTGATCTACTGTTGGCCCTTTCGAGTTCGTCTTTCCAACGTGTTACCAAGCTGGAACAGCTGGATGTAATTCCACTACTAACCTCAGGAAATTTGCGAATTTACTCAGCAAACTCGGCGGTTCGTGAATTTTTGTTGAGGTTCCAGAACACAGGCCTCCGAAAATGTCCGCCCATGGGATGATATTGATTAGCTCTGCTTACCGGTACTCTTGCAGGTGGCACAGGGCCGCAATCTTCAGCAGCTGATAAGAGGCTAGGTTCAGGTGGTTAGCGACATTCTCGTGCAGAAAGGCCGCGTCTTCCCACACCGCATCCTCGATGAGGGTGCCGACCCGCACGTTCGGCGATTCGCCAGACAAAACGCTGCACAAGTGTAAAATAGAGTTTGTTAGCAGTGTGTGAAGTCAAACATAAGGCTTCGAAAATCAGCTTTTCCGTGCGAGAAGGTGCGCAGCGACATGTTTTGAGCACCGATCTCCGCAGTCTGATGGTGCCGACCCGCACGTTTGGAGACTCGCCCGACAAAACGCTGCACATCAGTGAGACGGAGCTTGGAGCGGGTTACGCGGTCAAACAATTCTTTTCTTCTTTTCACTTTTGCCTCTCTTTTTATGGTCTCCTCTCTCTGTTGTATCAAATCTGGCGCTCGAGGAGTTCTAGTCTCACTTAAGGCGCAAAACTGATGTTATTCAGCTGTGGGAAAGCCAGTCTTTCTGTGCGAGTAGGCACACAGCGATAGTTTCCAAGCACCCCTCTGCGCAGTCTGAGGTGCCGAAAGCGTGTTCACAAGCGACTCTGACGAACCGCGCCCGCCCGCTTCCAACCAAGCCGACGGATGAGCAGCAAAAGTAGGTCCTCGGATCGACTCGTGAAGCACACTTCATGAGACCCAGAGATACAAAGATTCGATTCGAACAGAACATAGTGCATGGCCCCAGCACAACCACAAGCGAACAGTGTAGGAGGGCTCTCTTTCATAAGCTGCAGCGTATGGACTGCCCAAACTCCGCAAAATTACCGATAGCGTTTGTGTTACCTGGCAACATGATCTAGAGCAAGCGCAAGTCCCCGCTGCTGGTTCTCCTTCATGCGCTGCAGCGTGCGGACGGCACTGGCGATGTTGGCGCGGAGTTTCGGCAGGGGGAGCCCCTTGTGGAACTCGAAGAGGCGGGAGAACGACAGATTGAACGCGGCGTACACGTGGTCTCCGCTGTCGAGGCTCTGCCCGGCGCCCACGTCTAGCAAGTTAATGGAATCCTGCAAAGTCCACAGATAGAGAAAGCAGCTAGGAAAAACGGGACACTTGCGATCGTGGAGTCTTTCGAGAAGGTTAAGCTGAAGTTCGACAATGTCGAGGTTCTGCCCGGCGTGCATGTCGAGCAGATTGATCGAATTCTGCGGCGTGCACATACCCAGACGGTTCTTGCAAATCTCAACTATTTGCGATCCTGAACCCTGCAAGTCGGTCAGGTTGCGGTCAGAGGCGGCCACTCAAGCAGACTCGTGGGGTCCTCAAGCACCTCGTAGTTTGTACAAAATCTTGCAGTAGGCGAAGTAGAGCTGTATCGTTGTCGAAGGCGTCACAACCGGGGTTAAGCAAAGAATCAAGTAAAAGATCAACAGATAGCGAGGGCAAGCACACAGGACATGCATGAGACGACTTGCGAGGGCATGTGAACACGTTCAACTTGATCCTACCAAGAAATCAATCAAGACAGGTCCCCTCAGCTGCAGGCAATGAGGGCGATGGATGGAAGGGGCGATTATAATCAAGCGGAGACTTGGGAGGTAATGAGGAATGAAGCTCACGTCAAAGGTTCCCTTCCAGTGCACGACGGACGTTGCCATGGCCACGTTGAACTGCCCGCGCCGCGTCTGATCCGCGAAACGGTCCATCACTCGTAGCGCGACTTTGCTAAGCTCGTGACCTCGGTCGTATTCCTTAAGCCGAATCAGAAAGAAGTTGGCGTAGAGCGGGAGTGCCAAGCAGGCCAACGGCGAGTGGCCCCCCTGTAACACTAGCGCTAGCATGCGAAGCGTGATGAGGTGGATCAGCCGTACTCGTCCGGCGCAGTATCCGGCCATCATAAGCCGGTCCATCAGTCGGATAACGGCGAGCGTGTGGGTGTCGGTCATGACTGGGAGCGCCGCGAGGCTGTCGGAATCCATTTGGGAAAGAGCTCGCTCTAGTTGCGCGTGCTCCCCCGGGATCGCCGATTCGATCTCGGCGTCTAACATGGGCAGCGGGGCCCCAAGCATGGCCAGGCCTTCGGCGGCGTCGAACAGAGTCTCGAGCAACTGGGTGGTCAGGAGCATGATGACATCAGCATACGTTGTCTGAATGATGACAATGACGTCAGCACACGGTGTCTGGAAAAATCGCAACCGACAAGGCCTCCAAACAGTTCATCAAGCAGCCAGCGGCAAGAAAGACGGCTGTGAGGCAGCATACGCAGTGCTATGACTTTATACGCCTAGTTAGCAACGAACAAAACAGGACAACTTGATCAGGTCCGCCCACGTGTTGTCCTCTTTGCTGCGCCTGTGCTAACGAGGCCACATGAGACGAGCGAGAGCAAATATGCTGGGAGCCCAAACCAAACGCGGTGATGCTCACACCTCAGCGGACGCTGTGTCACATTTGGAGCGGCAATCCTGTAGTCAAGCTTGAGACCCTAGCATTATCATCCCTCGAAATTGAAATAGTCAAAACCAGAGCTAGGAGCCGATTCGTACCTGTCCCGCGAGAGTCAGAGCCTGCATCCGCAGCTCCAGGATGCGCAGCATGCTGTCCGTGTCGCCCCGCATCCGCTCCTTGAGCTGGTCCAGCAGTGCCAGCGCATCGCCATGCTGGCCTGTCAACGAAATTGTCGATTCGTGGCAAACAAAGTTGATGAGACGCTGAGTGATGCCCAAAACTCATGTACACAATACCCATAAGTTAAGTGCACATGTGAGCAAATAAGGGGCCACGAAATCGACATCTCAAAATCTGTCAGGGATCTCCGACAATGGAGCAGCCACGGACCCCCGTCGGTGAGAAAGATGTTAACTATGATTGACATAACACGCCACACGCATGCAAGCGACATATCTTTGTTCGGAGGTTAGATTGCCTCGCCAGCCATCCACACTAGATGCCACAAGTTCTAGAGCAGATTGTGTCCGTTACTCATCGCAGTCTGGAGAGCCTACCTGTAAGGGAGAGACACGTGGCCTCTTCCAGTTGGATGTCCAACGCAAGCTGTGGTTGCTGGGCCCACGACTCTGGCGCCGCTCCGAGCAGCTCTTGGGCGCAGCGAACGTATTGCAGGGCGGCCTCGTATGCGGTTGCCGCCTTGGCTTTCCGACCTGCGTGAACAATAGCGTATCTTCAGAGGAAGCAGTAGTGTCACGATAGATGCTTGCATTGCCACGCCTTCGTATGAGAAGGCGGCCTCCATAGAGGGTTCATTTCGACCAGGAAAGAGATTCTACACTCCCCATAACAAACAACTTTCCGAACATTCCGGGCTTCTCATGGGACCACCTCTTGAAGTACAGCCCTACACTAAGGGACGAGATACAGTTACAATATTCTAGGCGGTCTGGTCTGCTGCGAGGTGGGCCTGTGCGAAGCGGAGACACTCTATGGGGTCGGTGAAAAGCTCACAGAAGGTCCAAAATCAAGGTCTAATCCATCAACGTGCACCAGATGATTTAAGCGCAGCGTCGTGACTACGCAGTCTGACCTCCGGCTAGGTTGGCGTTTGCGAGGCGTAATTGCTCCGAGTGGTCGGCAATCAGACATAGGAGTCTCTAGACGAATGCTTTCATGATTGACACCATTTGGTTACTGCAGTGTTTTCCTGGATAACGAGCGCTAGAAAATGTCTTGTGCTGAGACTGGCCATGACATGCAGTCTGACCTGCAGCGAGGTTGGCAAGCCCGAGACGTTGCGCTCCAAGGGGGCGATGATATGCGCACACGTGCCCTTGGACATCTCGGATTTATGATCGACTTCATCGACTTGAAAACATCACTCTACCAGAAGGCAAGCGCCAAAAACGGAAAATACGGGCGGGGGTCCTGACCTGCAGCGAGGTTGGCGTGTGAGAGCCGTAAGCGCTCGACGGGGTCGGTGATGAGCGGCAGTGCCTGGTTGAAGTGGTGTAGGACAGCGAACGCGTGCTCCTCGTACTGCGCCGCGCTCATGCCGTCGAGCAACCGCCGCCCGACGCGCAGGTGCACCTCGGGGCGCTCCTCGGCGGACAGCTCCTGGTACGCGGCCTGCAAAAGAGCCGAGTCGGGTTTCCAAGAACACGACTAGAAAGGTGAAGAGTTGACGGAACAGAGGAAGTAAGGAAGTGGCCAACACGAGATCAGCGGGCCCGAGGCGGTCAGCTGTGGTATGCGGCCTGGAATGAGTCAAGTCGGTAAATCTTACAAAGAGAAAAGTACTCGAATTCACAAGAACACGACTAGAGAGTTCTAAAGTTGACGGAACAAAGGAAGCAAGGAAGTGGCCAACATGATATCAGCGGCCCCGAGGCGGTCAGCTCCTGGGAAGCGGCCTGCGAAAGCCAGGCTGGGGTTCGATACACTAGAAAGAGAGTCTGACCAATCTCTAGGCCCGTATGGTTTCAGGAAGTCAGGGTTTTAGGGTCCCATGACTGCAAGGGAACGAGTAAAGGAGTGGCCAACGCAACGTTAGGGTCAGCTCCTAGGAAACGGCAAACAGCCAGATTGTCAACAATGCTCGCATAGAAAGTCCCTTCATCTTTGTGTCAATTCAACCTCCCACCAAAATTCACACGACATTCCGTCTTTGGAAGCCCACAAAGCACGACACGTTAGTTTTGCAGATTTCCCCACCTTAAAAATTGTGCTCAAGTTCCGGACAGTCAATTCACCAGAGTACTCTTATGTATGCCCGATCGTGATTCCGCCGCAATGTTCACCAGCTTGCCTTGCCACGTGGCTTCAGGTGGCATGCCCACGTGCCTCACCTCGCGAATGCGGTCGTGGCGGAAGTTGAACCGGGCGGCGTCAAGGGCGGTCGGGTCTTGATCGCGTTGCTCGCAGTACTCGTCTCCAACCGACAGCAAAAAGCCCGCCGTCAAAGCCGGCCACAGCTTGTTGATAAGCTCCTTGGTAGGCTGCGCAGGGTGGGGAAACGAGCGTTGGCAAAACCAAAATATAAGCGCTCTAGGGTTAGGGAAAAAGGCGTTTCAAGGTTAGGCATTTCCTCGAGTCAGGTCTTTACAAGACTTTCGGGCTCTTCACGAGTCGCAAGATTCCTTAAAGTGGACAACCTGCCGGAGCCGGGTTGCTCACAAGAACCCGGTGCGAACTTCTTCGTTTGCTGCAGTGCAGATCCTCAACAAGTTCTGGGCTTACCTATCTTAAAGAAGGTGGACAGCAAAGCCACCTTGTTTCTTAGCGGTCAGATGACTTACAGGCCCGCGTATCGTCGTCACGTCTCGGCATAAGGGCACGCGTAACTTCGGCTTTATTGATCGGCCAGCGCGATCCAAGAAGACTATGCGTGAAAGTTGGGCTGGCTGGCCAGGGACCCCGACCACTCGACTGTCAGGACAGTCTGAATGAACGACAGCATGCGACTGGCCCCTTCCCAAGCGTTGCTCCATTCTCTTGTCATATTTCCTCGTCTTTTTGCCTTGCCCCAGGGTCGCTTGACCGAGTAAGAACAGCAGGAGGGAATGCTTTAGAAGGCCAAAACGCTAGGCATCCCGAAGAGACGATCAGATTTGACCTTACGAAACTCAAGAAGCGTTGATCACATTCACCGGCAAAACACACGTGAGCATCTGAGTACATTCCTGCCGCACCCTTCAGGCACTCTAATTACTCTGTTTTGAATAGAAATCAAGCGAGGACGAATACATTTTTCAGATGGACAACTCGTGATAGAAAGGACTTGAGCAATTGATGAAGTGAACGACGTCTTTATGAACAGACCCCACAGAAACGTACAATGCACGCAGCCTCACAGTGCGTCGGGGCTCACCTTTTGGCAGACGAGCGCGAGCATGGTAAGCGTGAAGCCGTCGCCGAGGCAGGCGGCCTGCGACAGCACGGCGCGCGT